TTAATTATTAATTATTAATTAATTAATTAATAAGACGAAGGGCGCCCTGATAGAACGGCATCCAGGGGTTTAAGAGAAGAGGCAGATGAACTTTGATAAATAGTATCATCATAATCAACAACAGGTAGAAAGGTTGACTGCACAATCTGTTTCCTGCTGACTGGAGAGAGACAAGATCTGTTCTATAAAAACAAAAAGCCCACTTTAAATCTTAGCTTCTAAACATGCTCATTTGTCTGCTTGTTAAACATTAAATCAATATCAAATATCAAAAGATATTTGTATACATTGACTTGTTCGATTATAGAACCATCCGATTAGTGAAGAAGTAATCCATCCGAGAAAATCTTACAAGAACTTTAAAATAGCATGCATTTAGTTTAGCCTGTATTAAGCACAAGTTTTAAAATTAGTAAGGGCTTTTTTGTAAAGCTTCAAAATCGAACTATAGACTTGTCACAGTCAGGTCAGCAGTCGGGGCAATTGCGTACATTATAGTACCATCCACATATAGATGAAATGAACAGGATTTAACAGATTGACCAATAGCATTTATATAAATAATGAAAAGAACAGGTTCCTAGTATCGGCACCTACGGAACACCCTTATGTACTTCTAGAAATTCTTAACCCCATCAATTCACGAAAGGCCTGAGTTCTGTCACTAAGATAATCATGAAACCTGTCACACCCTGATCTGTTTCACCTGTCTTGTGCTTGTCTCCATCCCCCACCAGGTGTCTCCCATTTTCCTCATTATCCCCTGTGTATTTATACCAGTGTTTTCTGTTTGTCTGTTGCCATTTCATCTTGTCTCGTCAAGCTTACCCGCATTTTTCCCGTACTCCTCTTCTGCTTTAGTCCCTGTTTTCCCAGTTTTGACCATTCTGCCCTGAGCCTGCCTGCCCTGAGCCTGCCTGCCTTTCTGTACCTTGTGACACTGTTCTGGATTACCGACCTCTGCCTGCCCCGACCCTGCTGTTTCTGTTCCTTTCGGACTCTGCTCTGGATTGCTGACCTCTGCCTGCCCTTGACCAGTCATTTGCATGCCCCCTGTTTTTGTAAATAAACGTTTTGCTATTTCGAACTGTCTGCATCTGGGTCTTATCCTGAGCCTTGATAGAAACCATGAGCAGGCGTCAGAACCCAGGCCAAACGAGGACAACTTGCTCAATAAAATAGCATGATCAACAGTATCAAATGCATTTGACAGGTCCACAAACAAGGCAGCACAATTCATTCAAAAGCATTGACAATATCATTGACAACTAATGTGGATGCTGTGCCCTGGTCTAAACCCAGATTAAATTGTATTCAAAATACCATGGTCAGATAAAAAAAAAGAGCAAAGTTGTTTATTTACTAAAATCTCGAGAAATCTTAGCTAGACATAGAAGCTTAGAGATGAGAAGATAATGATCACTACTATCCCTGCCCTTATGGAGTGGCAGCACAAAAGCTGTTTTCCATACTTTACGAATATTCCCTGATAACACTGTTAGATTTAAGATATGGGTTACTGAGCCAGCAGTGAGGGGGGCAGCACACCTGAGCATACCTGGCTCCAACTGGTCAGCCCTTTGTGGATTTCTTGGTATCTATAGCAAGTAAGGCATCAATGACTTATTTTTTTGTGCATTGACTAAATCAATGATGGCATATTTGAGGAAGTACAACCCTTCAGGGATTTGACCGTTTTCTAGAATTTAGCCGGATTCCCCTTACAATCAGAACAAGTGGTCACATAATAATCAGATTTAGCCTTTCTGATTAGTCTTATACATTGATTGCACTGACTATATGCCACTTACGGGTCGCTACCCACACACTCGCACACGCCTACACTGACACTTCTGCACACACATGCACACACACACACACACACACACACACACACACACACACACACACACACATACACACACACACACGCACTGACACCAACACACATGCATACACACACACTCATCACCACGCACACACCCACCCACCACTAAATTAATGTGTACCTTGATCTTGTAAAATCTCATTTGGAGGATCATGTTGTGTTGATGTGCTTCTTGTTCTTTTGTTAGCCAACTGTTACAGAATTTCTGTTCTGAGAGGATTGATGTTCTGCCTAAGGTACCAAGAATTGCACGCAATTGGTGGCGTTTAAACAATGTAATAATACCTGTGAATTTAAAAGCACATTGGATGTCCATATCTATAAACATGAAAAATAAAGTATGTCCCCTGTAGCTCAGTCGGTAGAGCGTGGTGCTTGCAACACCAGGGTTGTGGGTTTGTTTCCCACGGGGGGGCAGTATTAAAAATGTATACATTCACTAACTGTAAGTCGCTCTGGATAAGAGCGTCTGCTAAATTACTAAAATGTAATTGATTCCTCAGTTGCCTAAAATATTTCCAATCTGGGCCTAATCCTGTGTTCCTGGCCTTGACTTCTGATAATTCAGGAGTGAACCAGGCATTTGATCTACCTTTAACTCTCAGAGTTTTGAAGGGGCATGATTATCCACAATAGTGTTGAAGACATAAAAAAATCCAAAAAAAATCAGTTTCAGGGATAGCTGAGATACAATCAAGGTCACTAAAATAAAGATCATGTAAAACAACTTGTTCACTAAAGTGTGTAAGTTCCTCTTAGTGATGACACAAGGCTTAGATTTATGTCATCTCCCGTCTCTGACACAGACAACTGGGCAATGATAGTATTCATCAAAATAAGATAAATCAAGGTGGATTTCGATGGATCTTTAGGATTCGGCCGTGTAAGCTCAGTTATCAGCTGAGACAGGTTTAGCTCGGAGTAAATATCTTTCAGTGTATCTGACACTGGAGTCCTCAATATTAGAATTGCCCATAATGAATAGTTCAAACTTAACACACTTAGATACACTCCAACTAGTGTCAGCTGATTATTATGACCACGGTCCACATTAAGAACGAGATAATCAAACTGCTTAGGGACAGAGGTAGCAAGATATTCTGTCCGATCTGTAAACATTCAAACAGGACAGAGACTCATCAGAGTCCAACACAGAAATTATTCAACCAAATTTCAACCAAATTTCAGAAATTACCAGAATGTCCATGTTGGATTGAGAAGCCAGAATTTCAATCAAATCCACATTTGAAATCAGACTTCTGCCATTTACATGAACACATCCAAGATTGCGGCTGTGGGATTTCAGGTCAGATGGAGTCTCTAAAACAAGCACGCTATGATCGGTAGGTAACCCCTTATTTGAAAATACCATGGGATTGGATTGAATTGGTATAGATGCAAGATTGTCTAGAACTGAACCATTGGGCCTATGTCTCGAGCGAAGACGTGGATTAAAACAAGAGTCAATGAGGGTTACCTGTTGTGGGCCTGCAGTATGATGACAACGCTGATCATTTATGGTTGGGATTACCTGAGCGGGACTTGGAGTGTTGATAAATCAATGTCAAAGCAATGTCTCAGCGCAGTCTTGAAATGTGAGGACAGGGACCAGGCAACAAGATGATTTGGATGGACCCCATCCTCTCTGTAGAGCATCTTCTATTTCCAAAAGGTGTCAAAGTAACTCTAACAGGGCCACAGTAGAGACTCGTAGCCAGTCGTGTGGTGCCAGCAGCCTACTGAATCGATCCATGCCACGATTCAGTGATGGCACTGGGTTTGAAATAATTGGACGCATGTTGGAGTCTTTCAGAGTTCCAATCAGTTCTTTAAAATCCTGTTTCAGACGTTCCAAGCTAGTCATCCTAATGTCATTAGATCCCACATGGACTACTACAGCGACGCCCCCCCCCCCCCCCCCCCCCCCCCCCCCCCCCCCCCCCCCCCCCCCCCCCCCCCCCCCCCCCCCCCCCCGTGTTCTGGCGTAAAACAGTAGGAGGCAGCCTAGTAATGCCCTGTACCTGAGCCCCAGGATAGCAGAGGAAGATGGCTTCTTCCCACCTCTTTTCAAAGACACCACTCAACCTCCTGGCACTAGAGTCAGTCAGTTCATTACAGGGACTCACAGACACATCAGAGTGAGAGTCGTTGACTCAGTCAATGTTACTCCAACATGACCTTGTACCTAAACATACTTTTCAAGCCTTTATGATCAAATCAAATTAAATCAAAGTTTATTGGTCATGTGCACAGGATACAGTGTAAACGGTGCAATGAAATACAACGAAATGAGACCATTATCTAAGATATACTCAGACTAATACCAAACGTCAACAAGATATTATACTTAATAACACTAACCGCCTATGATGGCCTCTGGCGCTGTATTATATTATTTAAAATGATTATTACATTTTCTTTTTATCTGAGATTCCTCTAGTTTCATGTTTAAACGGATAAACTGATGTTTTCAAGCAGGTCAATGAAATGTAAATTACTCAACGTTACAGAGCTCGATAAAGCTAAACTATCCAAGTCTTAGAGGAATCTAGAGGACTTTTATTCAGGCATTTAGTGAGTGCTACTTTCTAAGGAGATTTAGGATTAAATCACAGGATGTTCATGCAGTACCTGTTTATCAGGCAACTGCCCACTCAAACATACCTTTTTGTGATTTTATTTGGGTAACAGGCTATTATGTGTGCTTGTCGGCCATCTTTTATAGGGTCAGGTGACAGGTCTGCTGATGGTCACCTGATAGGTCACCTGACGCAGAGGCCATCTTGGTTAGGAATAGTTTCCATTAAATCATTCAGATTACTGTGTAAATACTAAAATGTTGATTTAATTGAATTTAGTCAGAATATGAAAGATTGTCTCTAGCACCCCTAGTGGCTGTAACATCTATGAAAAACACCTCAGAAAGGAAACAAACAGCAGTTACCTTTAGACGTCTTCAGAGGATTCTTCAAAGTGTGTGCGTCTGTGTCTGTATGTGTGTGTGCATGTGTGTGTGCATGTGTGTGTTTCCGTGCACTTGCGCGTGTAGATAGACAATAAACAGTACTCACGATCATTGCACTGCGTGCCGGTGAAGGACGTCATGGAGCAATCACAGGTGTAGTTCTCCCACTGCTGGATACAGATGCCCATGTTGGCACATGAGTCCTCCTGGCAGGTGGTGCTAGGACCTACAGGTGGCAGAGCAGAGCCATGTGACACCAGGGCACAGGTGAGAGCGCTAGCTCGCCAACAGCTCCCCAACAGGTGCCATGCAGAGGTGTCAGTGCACGTCAGTGGGCCATGCATTAGTCAGGTTAGTACAGGTAACAAGTACATTATGTGAATTCCAAAGGTGTTATAGTACCGTAGAGGTGCACCAAACTGAAGAAGAAAAAAAAATAATGAAAAAAAAACACACAGCATTCCCTCCAAGTAGGTTTTAGTAAGACTTTTAGTGCACAGACATTGAACAGGGTGCTGGACGTGTTTTCAACATGGCTGGTTGATGAGAGAGAACTGGTGGATTCAGACAAACTGACTAGACTAGGGTCCCGTTCTGTCACATTGAGTTCCTCTATAACTGTGTAATTACATGGTAAGTTTTTAATCGCACTGCTTTGCTTCATCTTGGCCAGGTCGCAGTTGTAAATGAGAACTTGTTCTCAACTGGCTTATCCTGGTTAAATAAAGGTGAAATAAAAAAAAAACGAATTACTGCACACAGTCTACAGTGGTGGTATGTGTTGTTCAATAGTAGTTACAATGACTAGAACAATTATTTGAGTATAGTTTATGTGAGGTTATTGAGATTTTGCGATGATATTACATTGTTCAAGTCGTAACCTTATTCAATATATACACACTGTAGTTTCATTATGCCCGTTCATGTCAGCCCCATGTGAACACACAGTTTTAGAGCCACCAGAAGTTAATATGAAGTGTGACCCGGGTGTAAGCTCTCCCATCCTCCCTCCCCCCTCCCCCTGCTCTAGCCTAGACCAGTCTACACACAGAGACACTGGAGAAGAGTTACCACGGGAACAACAGAAAGAAGACAAAGAAACAAAATATTTAATAGCAAAGTGGTACACATAGATGGGATGTATAGCTATATGTAGGATATGTGCTTTTGTTATATAAATGTTGGTGTGGTTGTGTCCAGTTAAGTCCAGGGCTGTGTCTCATCCCAGAAAGGCGTCCCCTTACCCCTCTGCCCTCGCCCACTCTCCTTCACGAAACCGATACAACGGGTCAGACCCTTTCCAGTTCTGTGAAAAGTGAGTGAGCGAGGGAATATCGGACGATGCATCTGTGTGGAATGCAGCCCACACGAGGACTTTAGACTCACCACCTTCTAGACTCATCCCATGTTTTTGCACATTGTGGTTAAGAGGAAATGCAGTCTCTGCTGTGCAGCAGCACAAAACCAATTCAGGGAAAAATCGGGACAATATTCCCACTGCAAATAAACTGGATTTAAGTGCAATTTTCTTGCGCACGACCATTATAAACGAAAAAAGTACTAGAAATTGAACAAAATCATAGTGGGCTAAAAGTGCATTTATTGTGTAATGAAAAGGTGCAGTGGAACTTAGATTTATGCAAGATAAAATGATTCACTACATGTTTTTTTTTTTTTTTTTACAGGCACCAAATTAGCTAGACCAGTAACCTGAAATACATCCATAAAGTACTAATAATAATACAAGCTGCAAGTGAAGAAGAGGTCAATGTTCCTGAATCCTAAAGACACACTTTTATATGTCCTGTTGGTACATGAGACATGCTTTATTGAGTTGACAGAGATAGAGTTGTGCTGAATATGCTCATATAGCTAGACTGACATTCATCTACCGTGTATGCGCGTGTTCTCTGTTGAAATTGCCGATGTATTAATTCAACCTGAACACATTCTCAGAGGAAACATTTGTTGATATTGCTCAGCTGTAGCAGTAGATATCTCTTTCCGTCTGGGGTGGGAATTTTTTTCCTAAAGTAAATATGTCCTAAATCCCCTCGAAGTGGACTTTGGGTATGGACATGAGAGTCGTGTATAAACTTCTCTAAAACACCATCCATCAGTCTCCGGCCTGCACTGATTGCATTTAAAAGCTGCTCTCGCATTCTAATGAAACCGGCTGTCGGACTGTCGGAAACTCAAATTTAATTTAGGCGACCGTCATTTTAATTAGTGTGCTAATCGCACTGGCCTATCAGGGGGCATCCACACTCCAGTCCTAAAAGCATTTGAGGGGGAGAGGGGATCGTGTGTGCGCATGTGTGTGCGCATGTGTGTGCGCGTGTGTATGTTTTTGTGTGTGCGTGCGTGCGTGTGTGTGTCGACCCACCATGCAAGACTTAGCGGATTGATTAACAGCGCTGCCCAGACAGACTGTACATGGCCCGATACAGAAAAACAATATCTGCTGACATAATTATACAGGCGGCTAATGTTTTATTTATGCAAAAGCTTTCCATCGCAATCATTAGACTGTCTCCTTCTCTGCACACCTCCCTCCCTCCCTGTCTCCTGCCTGCCTCCCTGACCGCCGGCCTGTCTCCCTCCCTGCCTGTCTCCTGCCGGCCTGTCTCCTGCCTGCCTCCCTGCCCGCCGGCCTGTCTCCTGCCTGCCTCCCTGACCGCCGGCCTGTCTCCCTCCCTGCCTGGCTCCTGCCAGCCTGTCTCCTGCCTGCCTCCATGCCCGCTGGCCTGTCTCCTGCCTGCCTCCCTGCCCGCCTGCCTGTCTCCTGCCTGCCTGTCTCCTGCCTGCCTCTCTGGCTGCCCGCCTGCATGCCTCCCGGCGACGCAAATCCAGGGTACGCCGTAGGACTAGCAGCCCCTACCTACCATTCTCCAGAAGTGAACCATTTTATAACAAGCACGTAGCCAGCCACAAATAATCTTTCAATACCTGGCCATGTTTGCTGTCGATTGTGCTTAAAGGTGACATCATCAAACACAGCTTGAAGACTTCCTGCTTTACCGCCAACAATATCAGAGTTTAAATCAGCCAAGATTCCTATTGGATCTGCTGTGTTTCTACCTTGAGGCCAAAATTCTGTTGTTGTTGTTTTCTGTAAACAGGAAGTCACCCCACTGTATACGATGATGTCATCTTGCTGAGAGTACCTTTAAGCCAAGGTATTTGTCTTTAGTGAGTGGTGACACATAACATTACACACAGCATCTTTCAGCCAAGCTCAGAATGGAACTTGAACCTTCTACCTTGTAGGTCAGCTTTGATGAAACCAACTTTGTTAGAGAAAAGAACAGAAAGTGGAAAACAATAAAATAAGGTTAGTAGGTGGCCAAAGACTGTCGGTTAATAAAGCCAGCACTTTACTAACAGGGACATGCCCTTCAAATTCTCTAAGGAAGGGGTCAGGGGTCAGGGCTATGCTACCATGACAACCAAACAATAAGGAGACAGGTGAAATAGATGGGGACAGTACAACGAAAACATGTCGATGAAGATGGGTATGGATTGGAGATTCTGAACGTATTGAGACACACTGTATATTTGTCACTTCAACAAATGCATTAGGAAGGAAGGGCACTGGACCATTGATTTAGCTACATGTTCAACCTGTTCAGTCATTACACATTATTCAGAAGCACTTTGTTAAAACATTAATATTCAAGTGAAAATTACAACAACAAATAACATACAGACATCTGCATGGAAACCTGCATAGGAATATTAACATTTTCATTTTACATGGATAATGTATTCAATCAATCTTAGTTATGTATTTATTTAGACATTCTGTAGATGTATAGTCTACTTAAAGCATAATGGGACAATTGCTGCTCAAGAGTGATGACAACACAAAGGTTAGTATGAATATGTTTTATCATGAAGGGAAGAGGACAAACGACACAAGATGATTCAAGGATGATGTCAGACACAGAAACAACGATATGCATTGAAAACCCATAACATTGTTTCATTAGTGAATTGACCTAGTGATTCCCGGGCCTGCCATTCTCAGTTTGCAGCTCAGTCCCCCAACGTTTGCATCCACCTATGTACTGAGGCATCGGCGCCATCTAGTGAGGGTTTGCCTCGATTACACTAACCTATGCCAGGTAGACACTGACGGTTGTCACTAGTTACCACAGCCACAAAGTCAAGATTGGCTATATCACTCATGAAAAGAAAAATGAGCTTTTTGGTATTAATTTAAGGTTAGGCGTAGGCATATGGTTAGCAGTGTGGTTAAGGTTGGGTTAAGGTAGCCTCTGCCGAGTCCCAAACAACCGGAAATGGAAAGAGAGCCTGTGATGCAAATTCCACTTTTAGACGTTAACAAGGCAACACTTCATCTTAACTCCTCCTCCACATTTACTGGATTGGTTGAACAGTGCAGAAGACAGTTTTTTTTTTGTTAGTTTTTTTATGTAGGGGATCTAGTTTGAGCCGTTTCTTTTACGCCTGCTACGTTAGGTTAGGGTTAGGGTTAGTTTCAAAATCAGATTTTAAGAAGAGAAATCATAGAAATAGGTTTAACCACAATTATGACTTTGTGGCTGTGGTAACTAGTGACAACCAACATGAAGAGCCTCAAGCTGGTGAGTTGAGGGAGCAATGTTAAAAACTAATCTGTGTTGTTTTTCTTTTTTTGCGAAATAAGCAACTTAATGACTTGTTAAAGCATGAATGTAAAGAAGCACTACCGCTAACATACAAATGCGAGCTCTCACCTGAACATGAATAAATAAACAACTTTAATTACATGCATCAGCGCGAGATCAACGAATAGCACGGTCACACTAGCCTACCCTGTTCACAACCAATCACAAATCAAACAGTGGACTTTTACAGTAATTTTACAACAGATAGCAAAGTTACAGGTCAATGGGGGGGGGGGGGGGGGGGTCATCACTGGTTACCACAACCACAAAGTCTTCATGTTGGGTGTTCTCATTCACTACATTACCTGTGTGGTTCCCGCACATTGTTTGGCATAATCCATTCTGATAGTTGGGGGGGGGGGGGTGTTGTTGTAGGTTGTGTATAGACAATATGTTGTTGCTTAAGCTCTTAGCTGTGTGAGTCTTGCTGCAGTTTATACAGTGTTTGGTGTTTTGACCTCGTAGCCGTTAGGTTGCTAGTAGTTCTTTTTATCCCATCTTTGTAAATACGTAAATATCGTCATCGCTGTGGGCCTACAACACTGTTCGCGAAGTCATTATTTTTGATCACGCTACTCCATCTGTTGTCCAACTGTGTGCTCAAAACCCCAACTAACTAGGCTGCCATTATTCTTGACAGATAAGTTCATACTATGACAATTATTTTGCAAAAAATAAATGTGCACACACATTCTCATAACCACTCACAAACAAAATTACAATAAAATAAGAAATGATATGAATGTGATACAACAGAAGACCAAATAAATGTGATTTATGAGCTTTTATTGTGAAAAATAAATAAATAAATAAACTGATATGTCACACAAACATCATGGTGTACATTGTATAAACTGTAAGCTGTAATGAGAGGAAGACTTATGGGGATATTAATATTGAGTTATAGATATATACTGTTCAATAGTCATAATTTAAAGGTATATTGGGTTTATACTGCACCATTGTGTGGCTCTCTGATATGGTCATTTCAAAATAAGACAACAATAAATACACAACGGAGATGCTGAAATTGAAAACAGAGATGTTGAAATTGAAAACAGAGATGTAAAAATTGAAAACAGAGATGTTGAAATTGAAAACAGAGATGTTGAAATTGAAAACAGAGATGTTAAAATTGAAAACAGAGATGTTGAAATTGAAAACAGATATGTTGAAATTGAAAACAGAGATGTTGAAATTGAAAACAGAGATGTTAAAATTGAAAACAGAGATGTTGAAATTGAAAACAGAGATGTTGAAATTGAAAACAGAAGAGAGAAACAACACGCTCCAGGAAATACGTGTACACAAAGCAAATTGATTCACATGCAAGCAATAATAATTAATGAAAACTGAGCAAAAACTATCGTAACAAAGAACTAAATATGTTTAATGATCAAGGTCAGGTGCCAAGAGTATTGCAGCAATAACTGTTCATTTGAATGAAATTTGATGCTAGTTTAAAAATATTTCAATAGGCCGTCTACGCGCTTAACTGTTATGCATGGAAACTTTGAGATAAACTCTAAAGAAATGGAAACCTTAGGCATTTTAGTTTTGTGCACACACTTCATACAAGCTCCTGTATCATTTCTGACTGGGGTTTTCACATGGCTCCATAGAGATGTTACAATTCTTATTCATGCTCCATTTTCTATATTGTATTGTTGCTCGGGCAAGAACAGCTGAGATTCTATTTCTAATATGTGGGGCATATAGTATGTTAGATCAACAAACAGCTAATCGTATTTATGATAAGTACTTATTATACAGAGCAAAATACTAATTAATCACATACAAATTATGGTATATGCCCATACAATCAAATGTTTAGTATACCGGTAGCTCCCTGTGATGTACCTACAGAAACACTCCTATACTAGCTGCAAATATGTTTTAAAGATGTATATTATGTCTTTCTGAAACATGACTGTAACTGTCAATGATGATGAGCACCTAAAACACCAATATTATTGTTACTGTACCGCTGCTTTGAGTTGTGCTGAAATGACATCATAAACGTGCGACCAATGTGGCTGATAAGAGCTGGGTCTGGGTTGTGGCTAGTTGGAGAACAGCTACGGACCAAAAGTTTCATGTTTGTGTCTCATCGGGGACAACTTGTAGCATTTTAGCTAACCCTAACCCTAACTCCTTTCCTAACCTTAAACTAATTATCCTAACCGGCTACGTTAATTCTCCTAACCTGCTGCGTTAATTCTCCTAGCCTGCTGTGTTAATTTCTCCTAACATGCTGCGTTAATTCTCCTAACCTGCTGTGTTAATTCTCCTAACCTGCTACATAAAGTCACTTCTGCCCATAGCTGTACTCCATCTAGCTAAAACACTGGGTTTGGGGCTCGAGGTTGAAGTTGCCCCTCACCACAGATCTAGGATCAGATGTCCCAACTTTAAACCCTTACTTTATACATTAGGATGAGTAAATACTATCTGACCCTGGAGCATTGGTTAGGGTCAACATCTACCTACTGTTATGATGGCAGTTGGGGGTGGTTTTAAATGTCCAATTCTTCTCTAACTACATCTACCTACTGTACTGTAATGATGGCAGTTGGGGGTGATTTTAAATGTCCAATTCTTCTCTAACTACATCTATCTACTGTACTGTAATGATGGCAGTTGGGGGTGGTTTTAAATGTCCAGCCTTGCTCTCATTAACAGAGGGCTATCTGGGTGGTGAGTGAGATGACCAGCAGGGTTAGTAGGATGGACGGGGGAGGATAAGGAACGATGGAGGTGGCTCTACTGTTGGAGATAAGGACGAATGGGCTCCCTGAGCTGTCGTTGTAGTTTTTGTTGTTTCTGGGGTTGTAGTTTGAGTTGAAGTCCGAGTCGGATATGGTTTTGAGGGAGGGTGTACCTTCGCATCCACGCTCTATCTGCCCGCTGCGGAAAAGCGCGTCCTGTAGGAGGTCAGGGAGGCGGCCGTTGAGGTCCACTGAGGCCAGGCAGCCCTGGAAGCCGTCCCTGGATGCCACCAGCTTGGGCAGGCTACCGTACATACCAGGGCCCAGCCCAGCGATAAACAGGTCACCTGGAGGGAGGAGGAGAGGACACGGAAATGGACATGTTACTGACAGTCTAGCTTTATCAATCAGTCTTTTATTTGACTGTCCTGGTAAATCTTTTGTTTTACAGTCCTGTATCTGCAAATCAATTATTTGATTAAAGAGTATTTTAGGTTTGATTTATTTCTAAGAATTCAACATAACCAACCCAGGTGGACGTGTGCGACTCAAAACCACAATAGTCCACTAAAGCCATAGCTCTAGAACATGGATATTCTGGTCTCAGGCAAGGTTAGTCATCCCACAATCATACTCTACCTGTCAGGTCACTGAACCACCTCTGTTATATACTCTACCTGTCAGGTCACTGAACCACCTCTGTTATATACTCTACCTTTCAGGTCGAGGTTCTTGGCTCCGTTGACCACCTGACTGGTTGCCTTGGCGTCCACCTTCAGAGTGTGGATATTGCTATTGTCACGAGTGATGACCACATTGTGCCACTGGTTGTCATGGAGAGCCCGGTCACTGTTGCCCTTGATGACGTTGGGCCCATTGCCAAGATCAAACACGTAGTGGATGTACCTGCGGGGGGTCAAAGGTTACTCTGGTCACTGAATAGAACAGCTGTTGGACCGATAGGCGTGGTGCAAAGGCCTCCTGTAGCTCAGTTGGTAGCGCATGGCGCTTGCAACGCCAGGGTTGTGGGTTCGATTCCCACAGGGGGCCAGTATGAAAAATGTATGCACTCACAAATTTAAGTCGCTCTGGATAAGAGCGTCTGCTAAATGACTAAAATGTTTGTTTTTTTTAAGTTAAAATGTGCAGCAGAGGACATGACGTCTAGGCCTCTGTGAGTGGAGTGGTTGGTCAACTATTAGAATATGTCAAAATGGTGACATTTAACCATTGTGGTTAAAAGTAATTTGTGTAATTTGATGTCGGATCTTAATTTGATCACTCTTTTGTAGCTAAATGTTTTCCTACTATCAGGAAATTAAAATGAGCGTCGGAATTTAGACACGTTCACTGAAAACCCGCAGTTCTCTTTCTCTCCATGCGGTGGCAGTGGAGTCATTCGGACCAGTGACTGCAATGAAAATCATCCTCCCTCTCTCGCTCGCTGAAACGCTAAAATTAATTTAAAATTATAATAATAATAATTACTGCAACATTAAAATGTACAAATATGTGTCTGAAATACACCCATACACATCAACAATATCTAGCTTAATAAGACAAGATAGATATTGGTCTTCACTACGACATACAAGTGTCAAGTGTATCCGAAATGCAGCTGTAGGCTACACCTAAGCTTTAGCCTACTGTAGACTATAATATCAGATGTAAAGACAAGATGAAATTGAGAATAGTAAGGTAGCCCACGGAATGGAGCGCAATGGCGAATTAAAGAGAGCGACTCAGATTTGAAAGGCCAAAAACACGCAAAAAACACAGCCCATTATTATTTGTTGATCTACAGTAGCCTATATATTATCGTAAAATAGGACATCTTAACCCCATCAGTCCCGAGACCCCAGCAAAAATTGGCTTTTCATTTATCTGACTTTGATTTATCAGCATGTCCAGCCCTTATATTTAGCCTCACAACGAAGTGATTAACCATTTTCTTTTCAAGACAACCAGGGCTACAAGTATAACACAAACCAATTTTACATAAACAGTTGCATTTATGAGTTTTATTGACAAATGGCAATAAAAAAAATAAGCTCTGCCGAAGCAAAAACATGATACAAATGTATTTATATGAATGCTGTAAGTACAGAAATTGTTTGCTCAGTGGGAAATGAATATCCAACTAGTCAGTGACAACTGTAATAGACCAATAAGAAAGAGAGTTCCAAACCTCTCTGCCAATAGCAGATCATTTTCAATTTTCCCCTACCCAATCAGACCACTCCCAGACAGTCCTAGCAAAAATCTTGCTTGAGAAATTGCTCTTGCTAAGAAGCTATTTTTGTTTATTTTTGACCATTATGATTGAAAACAACCACAGGAAGGTATTTGTTACCAAGAAATGATTTAATATTGAGATAAAAACGGCTGCATTAGGCCTTTAAGGTTTCTAGCAAAACTAAGGTTATGAATCTTGACTTCAATCATGGCTTGGACGTGGTTTAGCGGTTAGGGCAGCTGCCTTCTGTATGCACATAGAAGCCTACTGTTTCGTCAAGGGGTTCACTCCAGCCCATGCCCTTCTGGCACAAATAACTAAATCCCCCTGATTGACTTGATTTAGTTAAACATTTCAAATATGGACAGTGCAGGCAATTTTTTATCTTGATAAGAATTTTACCATACCAGACACTTTATTTTTAATGGATAAAAGAAATAGGAAACAAATAAAATTATAACAGTAGGCTACACCAACATTAGTTACCATTCATACAATGTGTCGGGTAAATTGCCACAGTAGATTTGCCATGATGTACGGAATTCTTGTCAAATAGAAAGATCGCCCGTAGTCTGTTTTAAAACAAGAGGCCGAACATACCTTGAAATAATTTGGCTGCAAGCATCTTTTAGGGATCTGTAATGGGGTGACCAATAATGGTTGCAAGTGAGATCAGCTGTGCAGGTGAATTTAGTACATATTGATGATTTAACAACACATCAGCTGGCGCGAATCTTATTGACATCGATGGTTGCAATAGGCCCCTTGTTATTTGATTATTTACCCGTTACCCTATCAATGAAAGCTGTGAAAACCGATAAAAAAGGTTACTGTTTGTTTCCCTGGCTGAGTTGATGAGCTGATTTGGCCCATCAGTTGATTGACATACAGTGCATTCGGAAAGTATTCAGACCCCTTGACTTTTTCCACATTTTGTTACGTTACAGCTTTATTCTAAAAATGATTAAATTCAATTTTTTCCTCATCAATCTACACACAATACCCCATAATGACAAAGCAAAAACAGGTTTTGAGAAAATTTTGCAAATTTATTACAAACAAAAAACTGAAAAGTCATTTACATAAGTATTCAGACCATTTACTCAGTACTTTGTTGAAGCACCTTTGGCAGCGATTACAGCCTTCAGTCTTCTTGGGTATGACGCTACAAGCTTGGCACACCTGTATTTGGGGAGTTTCTCCCATTCTTCTCTGCAGATCCTCTCAAGCTTTGTCAGGTTGGATGGGGAGCGTCGCTGCACAGCTATTTTCAGTTCTCTCCAGAGATGTTCAATCGGGTTCAAGTTGGCTGGGCCACTCAGAGACTTGTCCCGAAGTCACTCTTGCGTTGTCTTGGCTGTGTGCTTAGGGTTGTTGTCCTGTTGGAAGGTGAACCTTTGCCCCAGTCTGAGGTCCTGAGTGCTCTGGAGCAGGTTTTCATCAAGGATCTCTCTGTACTTTGCTCCGTTCATCTTTCCCTCGATCCTGACTAGTCTCACAGTACCTGCCGCTGAAAATCATCCCCACAGCATGATGCTGCCACCACCATGCTTGACCGAAGGGATGGTGCCAGGTTTCCTCCAGACATGACACTTGGCATTCAGGCCAAAGAGTTCAATCTTGGTTTCATCAGACCAGAGTCTCGGTGGTTCCAAACTTCTTCCATTTAAGAATGATGGAGGCCACTGTGTTCTTGTGGACCTTCAATGCTGCAGATGTTTTTTGGTACCCTACCCCAGATATGTGCCTCGACTCAATCCTGTCTTGGAGCTCTACGGACAATTCCTTTGACCTCATGATTTGAATTTTGCTCTGACATGCACTGTCAACTGTGTGACCTTATAAACTGTAGACAGGTGTGTGCCTTTCCAAATCATGTCCAATCAATTGAATTTACCACAGGTGGACTCCAATCAAGTTGTAGAAACATCTCAAGGATTATCAATGGAAACAGGATGGAACCTGAGCTCAATTTCGAGTCTCATAGCAATGTCAATAAGACATTTCTGTTTAAAAAATATAATAATCTTAAAACCTGTTTTCACTTTGTCATTATGGGGTATTGTGTGTAGATTGATGAGTAAAATGTTTTATTTAATCAATTTTAAAATAAGCCTGTAAAGTATCAAAATGTGGAAAAAGTCAAGGGGTCTGAATACTTTCTGGACGCACTGTATGTAGGCCTCCTGTAGAACAATACACTTTCCTCCAGTGTGGATGCTCATCCACGTTTTATAGTTAGGCTATGTATAATTTGTCAATATAGTTATGGTCTTTGATGTGGATGGCCCTTACAGTAAGTGAGATTGCCATTGCTAAGCTGTTATGCGCCGGCTATAGTAGCATAGACCTACTGTACTTTAAGTTTGAAGTCATCCTTGTTGTGGATTGAAAGCCTGCATTGTGTGCTTCAATATTTAATTTCATAAAAGCTGTCAAGATGTTTATGTATTTCAGCCCTTCTAAAAGGCGATTTCGTTGAGCTCAGAAACTTTTCTTTGATGTGTAAATTATCAGACTTTAAATAAATGCAATTAACTTGTGGGCATAAATGTAGACTACAGTCTAAATTAAATTAATTGAAAAATGTACGATCCGATGGTGGAACTCCTCCACTCATTCAGTGCCTGAATCAAAAGTGAAAGGGCAGACTTGCAGTGTATTCAAGGCTTAAAATTCATCTGAAGGTTTTAATTTCCACATCAAAAATCTCCGACCTGAATCTCAGCATATAGAGCCTCCATACTCAACTGGCAGACCACGGACTGGATCCAGAACGGGGTCAATACGGACCGCAGTTCCCCCCGACCCCTGGTATCATATAAACACACATAAGACATGGAAGAACGCATAGAATTGTAGAAAATTCGCTTTAAAACTGCCAAACAAAAATCTCTGCCCCATGCGAAATGTGTAGAATTGTGGGAAATTAGAATTAAAACTGCAACATTTTCTCTCCGCCAACAAGAGGGGTGTGAACAGTTTGGGGTCACATGGATTGCGAGGTGGGGGTTTGTTACTATGCCGATTAATTACATTATCCATCCAGACCTTTCCCACCTAGGACATTTGTGTGACCGGACCTTCTCAAATAGTACTTGAGTACCCCTGATATAGAGTTTGTTTTTCTATTTTTTGGTTTGTTTTCTCTTTCAATGGTGGAAATAGTTAGCATATGTCAGTTAGCATATATCAGTTAGCATATATCAGTTAGCATAGCATATATTGTTGCTTGCTAGGTCTGGGCATGTTCGATGAATCAATTTAGCCTACCTTCTATTATTTTAATCATATTTATGTTGGACGTGCGCTCACAATCTAATTGTTATTTGTCTAATGATTTATTCTTTCTTAAAGGTATTTTTTAAGGAGTGGGACAGTCCCACGCCTTTCGTATTTTTTTTGTGCTTTTATTGAAGAGATAGAACAGAGTTGGAAAGAACGGGGAGGTGAGGGGGACAGATTCGAACCCGGGGTCATCAGCTGTAACTGCTGGACCAATACTGAGGCCACCAATCATTTATATTTATACCTATTGCTTGGCTTGAACATATAATAAAACAATTGATTAAAAAGAAAAGAAAAAGATTCTCCCTAACGAAAAACCCCCAAATATATCAATATCTATATGTATATACAGTATATCAATATGTATATCAATATACAAATATGTCAATTTATTACAATCAACATAAGAATTCACACGAGACGCTGTAGCCTGCATGTAGCCTGGACGTAACCTACATACAGTGGGGGAAAAAAGTATTTAGTCAGCCACCAATTGTGCAAATTCTCCCACTTAAAAAGATGAGAGAGGCCTGTAATTTTCATCATAGGTACACGTCAACTATGACCGACAAAATGAGAAAAAAAAAATCCAGTAAATCACATTGTAGGATTTTTAATGAATTTATTTGCAGATTATGGTGGAAAATAAGTATTTGGTCAATTACAAAAGTTTCTCAATACTTTGTTATATACCCTTTGTTGGCATTGACACAAGTCAAACGTTTTCTGTAAGTCTTCACAAGGTTTTCACACAAAGTTGCTGGTATTTTGGCCCATTCCTCCATGCAGATCTTTTCTAGAGCAGTGATGTTTTGGGGCTGTCACTGGGCAACACGGACTTTCAACTCCCTCCAAAGATTTTTTATGGGGTTGAGATCTGGAGACTGGCTAGGCCACTCCAGGACCTTGAAATGCTTCTTAAGAAGCCACTCCTTCGTTGCCCGGGCGGTGTGTTTGGGATCATTGTCATGCTGAAAGACCCAGCCACGTTTCATCTTCAATGCCCTTGCTGATGGAAGGAGGTTTTCACTCAAAATCTCACGATACATGGCCCCATTCATTCTTTCCTTTACACGGATCAGTCGTCCTGGTCCCTTTGCAGAAAAACAGCCCCAAAGCATGATGTTTCCACCCCCATGCTTCACAGTAGGTATGGTGTTCTTTGGATGCAACTCAGCATTCTTTGTCCTCCAAACACGACGAGTTGAGTTTTTACCAAAAAGTTATATTTTGGTTTCATCTGACCATATGACATTCTCCCAATCCTCTTCTGGATCATCCAAATGCACTCTAGCAAACTTCAGACGGGCCTGGACATGTACTGGCTTAAGCAGGGGGACACGTCTGGCACTGCAGGATTTGAGTCCCTGGCGGCGTAGTGTGTTACTGATGGTAGGCTTTGTTACTTTGGTCCCAGCTCTCTGCAGGTCATTCACTAGGTCCCCCCGTGTGGTTCTGGGATTTTTGCTCACCGTTCTTGTGATCATTTTGATCCCACGGGGTGAGATCTTGCATGGAGCCCCAGATCGAGGGAGATTATCAGTGGTCTTGTATGTCTTCCATTTCCTAATAATTGCTCCCACAGTTGATTTCTTCAAACCAAGCTGCTTATCTATTGCAGATTCAGTCTTCCCAGCCTGGTGCAGGTCTACAATTTTGTTTCTGGCGTCCTTTGACAGCTCTTTGGTCTTGGCCATAGTGGAGTTTGGAGTGTGACTGTTTGAGGTTGTGGACAGGTGTCTTTTATACTGATAACAAGTTCAAACAGGTGCCATTAATACAGGTAACGAGTGGAGGACAGAGGAGCCTCTTAAAGAAGAAGTTACAGGTCTGTGAGAGCCAGAAATCTTGCTTGTTTGTAGGTGACCAAATACTTATTTTCCACCATAATTTGCAAATAAATTCATTAAAATCCTACAATGTGATTTTCTGGATTTTTTTTCCTCAATTTGTCTGTCATAGTTGACGTGTACCTATGATGAAAATTACAGGCCTCTCTCATCTTTTTAAGTGGGAGAACTTGCACAATTGGTGGCTGACTAAATACTTTTTTCCCCCACTGTAAGCTACTTGAACTGGCGCCCAGTGGACCTGCAGACTAAGGTACAATGTAGGTATGGTACTGCATCGTATTCAAACACCGCTTCCAGCTGACCCTGGCGGCAATTCTAGATATCTCTTCAGATATTCAAATCCTCCTGCTGCAGGATTATTTTCCCCCTGTGACAAAATGGGTCAAATTACGATCCGAGATCTGTATTCGTTGAAGTATATGTCACTTACTGTGGTGACAATATGCTTCTGTAATACCAACCCTGTGTACCTATCGTCTTTCATCGAGGTGCTGGAACAAAAAAAAAACACAAAGCAAACAAACAAGGAAAGTCCAACACCAGGTAGAATCCCACTCACCCTTTAACCAGCTCCACAGCGATGAAGTCGTTGCCGTCTCCACTGTTGAACAGTATGAAACCGTCAGGTGAAGTGGTCTTGAACTGGAAGAACAGGTGCATGGAGGTGTAGGCCTGCAGGGTGGCCAGGCTCAGGTAGCTGCTCTTGGACTTGAAGGTCACAGGGTCGGCGATGATGGAGCGCATGCCAAAGCGGGCGTTGAGCTCACAGATGTCGATGTCTCCGTTCTTACAGAGATCAATATACAGCATGCCGTTGAACCTGCCGTAAGTAGAGTGGGGAATAAATATATTATCTGATGTAAACGCAGAAACCTCTTTCTTGTTCACAGGAAGGGACCTGTCATTCGCTAGAGACAAACTTATCACCAAGACCTGCTAAAGTTAAGCAAAACATAACAGTCATCTTAACTGATTTAGATAGGCTTTCTCCAAAATAGACATAATTTCAACAATGTCAACATATTCAATCTGATGGCATAGTAGTCACACTAAAATCTCCTTGCATTGTCTGTAAAGAGCTTGTATACTGTTGTGTCTTTCTGGGTGAAATAAAGATCCTAACAGTATATAGCATAAATAATATTTAAAAAAAGTATATAACAATGTATATAACAAAGAACATAAGAAAGAATATGAGCGAAGAGGAACCTGAGACTCTGCAGGTGTCCGATGAAGCTAGAGGGGATGGCTGAGACGAAGCGTCTCTCCGTCATGATGCCCGTCTCGATGTTGTGGAACTCCAGACGGGTGTGGTCGCCCGCCATCTGGCCTGGAGTAGGGGAAAGAAAGAAAGAAAACAAGATAGAAAAGAAAAAGAATACACTGTCTGATACTAACACAAAAGGCTGAATTTAAAGAGGTGGTGAATTTTAGCCAGTAGAATATGGTTAACTACAACATAATACTACAAATGAATAAACTTCAGCGAGAACAATTCAGACATATCAATGGATGTTAACAGTTTATAGTCAACCTTCTCAAATAATTACTTGAAATAGCATTAAAAAAAAACACTGAAAGGATAGTTAACCTTAATTAGCAAATGTTGTAATTCACGTAATCCTAAAACTAAATCAGAACACCGTTACACGTCACCCATTCAAACAGTGGCAGATGAGGGAGTTTCTTTCCAGGGTTGGGGTCAATTCCATTTCAATTCAGGAAGTACATTGAAATTCCAATTCCAATTCTCTTCAATGCTTTTCAATTAGGGATATTTGGAATTGGAATCTGCTTTACTTTCTGAATTGACTGGACTTGAAATGAAATGGACCCCTGTTTCTCTCAGGCTGTAGCTAGTTTAGTACCTTCTGCTATGTCATCGTCCACCGTGAGCTTGTAGGTTTTGCCCCGGCGGACCACGCGGACCGTATGCCACTCATTATCATTGAGTTTTTGCCCAGCATACAGGGTCTCGGGTCCCTTGCCTGAGAACGATGGTTGGTCACAAAGTTAAAGTCATCCTGCCTCACCAACAAAACCTTTACTTTCCAAAAGGGGCTGTTATATTGGGCCTTTTTCAACAGAAGGAGGCGATATAATGAGCTTATTTGTAACCACTACAAGAAGTAGGTGTAATTGAAGGCGTATATTGCAGATGATGATAGCAGAGTAGCTTGACATGTCAAACTGACTAATTTTCATTTGGGATCATCTCGCATAGTGTGGAAAGCAAAGGTTTGGTTATATTTAGGAAATAAGTTATTCAGTTATTTTGTTAAAAAGCAACAATGAATACTTTTTTCTAAAACAATATCTCTTCAATCATGATTGTACACTGGACTAGCACCTTCATTGCAGAAATGTACAATTTTAAATATGTACAGTGCCTTCGGAAGGTATTCAGACCCCTTGACTTTTTCCAAATGTTGTTACGTTACAGCCTTATTCAAAAATGTATTAAATAAATAAAGAATCTCAGCAATCTACACACAATACCCTATGACAAAGCGAAAATAGGTTTTTAGATATTTTAGCACATAAAGAAAATACATAAAAAAATACCTTATTTACATAAGTATTCAGAGACTTTGCTATGAGACTCGATATTGAGCTCAGGTGAATCCTGTTTCCATTGATCATCTTTGAGATTTTTCTACAACTTCATTGTGTGATGAGTACTGAGTATACGAAGAGGCAGGACGCAGACGCAGGAATTAACAAGGTCAAGGTTTACTTAAACAATGACAAAGAGAAATAACAAAGATAGCGTACACGACACGAAGCTAAACAATCACACACAACATCATACAGAACAGTCCAGGGCTATATAGTGGTGGTGATGAGATGATGAGGTGCAGGTGCGCTGGAGGTGATTAGGGTGCGTTTGGTTTCCATTCCGGTGTTGCCGAGGTGGTGCACTCAGACCGGAGGGTCAGTAGACTGGCAAATCAGAGCGCTGGAGGAGAGCAACGGGAGGAGACGTGACATATTGCAGTCCACCTGTGGTAAATTCAAATGATTGGACATGATTTCGAAAGGCACACAACTGTCTATAAAAGGTCCCACAGGTGACAGTGCATGTCACAGCAAAAAACAAGCCATGAGGTCGAAGGAATTGTCCGTAGAGCTCAGAGACAGGATTGTGTCGAGGGGGGAAGAGTACCAAAAAATATCTGCAGCATTGAAGGTCCCTAAGAACACAGTGCCCTCCATCATTCTTAAATGGAAGAAGTTTGGAACCACCAAGACTCTTCCTAGAGCTAGCCACCCGGCCAAACTGAGCAATCGGGGGAGAAGGGCCTTGGTCAGGGAGGTGACCAAGAACCCGATGGTCACTCTGACAGAGCTCTACAGTTCCTCTGTGGAGATGGGAGAGCCTTCCAGAAGGACAACCATCTCTGCAGCACTCCACCAATCAGGCCTTTATGGTAGAGTGGCCAGATGGAAGCCACTCCTCAGTAAAAGGCATATGACAGCCCGCTGAATGAACGGAGCAAAGTACAGAGAGATCCTTGCTCCAGTGCGCTCAGGACCTCAGACTGGGGCGAAGGCTCACCTTCCAACAGGACAGTGACCCTAAGCACACAGCCAAGACAACACAGGAGTGGCTTTGGGACAAGTCTCTGAATGTCCTTGAGTGGCCCAGCCAGAGCCCGGACTTGAACCCGATCTAACATCTCTGGAGAGACCTGAAAATAGCTGTGCAGCCACCCTCCCCATCCAACATGACAGAGATTGAGAGTATCTGCAGAGAAGAATGGGAGAAACTCCCCAAATACAGGTTTTGCCAAGCTTGTAGCATCATACCCAATAAGACTCAAGGCTGTAGTCACTGCCAAAGGTGCTTCAACAAAGTACTGAGTAAAGGGTCTGAATACTTACGTAAATGTGATATTTCAGTTTTTTTTTTTAAATATAAATTAGCAAAAATATTTAAAAATCTTTTTTTGCTTTGTCATTATGGGGTATTGTTTGTAGCTTGATGAGGGGGGAAAAAAAACATTTAATCCATTTTAGAATACGGCTGTAATGTAACAAAATGTGGAAAAAGTCAAGGGGTCTGAATACTTTCCGAAGGCAGTGTATTGAGCAGAAAAACATTGCAGTCAATGCAACAACTACACAGGTTTTACTCATCATAGTGACTGGAAATCCTGTCCACATTTCCAATTCTGTTATTACTATATGAATACTAGGTTAAAGAGGACTGTGTGTGTGTGTCTGTGTGTATGTGTTCTCAACCTGTCATGGGTGTGTGTGTGTGTGTATTCTCACCCTGTCGTGTGTGTGTGTGTGTGTGTGTGTGTGTGTGTGTGTGTGTGTGTGTGTGTGTGTGTGTGTGTGTGTGTGTGTGTGTGTGTGTGTGTGTGTGTGTGTGCTGTTCATTTGATCAAGTCAACACAAACGGATTCTGGCAGACACAAGCCTGGAGGGATATTGATTTGGACAGTTTCTCGTTTCCTTGGCAGTTAGCAGTGTTAAAACAGTGTTAAAAACAGTGTTAAAACAGTGTTAAAAACAGTGTTAAAACAGTGTTAAAACAGTGTTAAAACAGTGTTAAAACAGTGTTAAAACCAGTGTTAAAACAGTGTTAAAACAGTGTTAAAACAGTGTTAAAATAGTGTTAAAAACAGTGTTAAAACAGTGTTAAAACCTTGATTTTTAGTTGTGCATGCAGCAGTTATTGTGCCCAGTATTTTGAGGTCATTCTTTTAGTCTATTTTAGTCTTCACATTATTTTGGGTAATGCACCTAATATTCCTCATAACTAAGACATACTGTACTGTGTGGCTCTTTTATAACAAAGGCTATTAGCTCAGAGAAGGTATTAAATAATAAAATAGCCCTCATTTCTGTTATTACACAATATTACAATGGAAAAAATAAGTGGTTAGATATGTACTGTGATTGACTGTGACCAGCCTGATGTTATATGAGATCTGGATTCTGCTCTTTGACCTGAAATGCTATTTCCTGCATTAATTAGCCCCAGACATTATAGGTAGAGCCCGACCGATATGTGATTTTTGGATACTGATTCCGATATTAGAGTGAAAATATTCACTGATAATGATATATCTGTTGATATTTATTTATTAATTATTATAGCTCGAATTAAGAAAAAAACATATAAATTTTCTGTATCTATTGTGCTTAAAACAGTCCTACAATGATACTAAGAAAGTTGATTTCTTACATTTTAGGAAATAACATTAATTCAAGAATTTAGGAGCACCAGAAAGACAATATTTTGTTATGGAAAAACTATGTGTTACTCTAGTCTAGTAAAAGGAGGATAAACTGCAATGATTTTCAAAACAAACTGAGCCCTCTCATGCCAGCCATCTGGAAAACAACGACATAGGAGACATTTTCAATGTATTAGTATTTAGCTACGTCGTTTTCATCGATTGTAGGCCTATAGCCACTGGATTCTGGTAGTTGGCACTCGAAAGGAATAAACATAAATCACAAAAGTAGCCGCTGGCACGGGCTGCCTCACGCACCAAGTGTTGCCTCGGCGCTATCAAGTACTTTTCCACAGCTAGTTAGCCGGCTAGCTAGAGGAAGAGAGAGGCCCAACTCTGCTGAAAATCTGTCTCCCTCCAGCAGTTGTCATTTTTTCGCCTACCAAGCAAGGAGTTTTTGTATGGAAGGCAATGAGAGAGTTACAAATTTGGTCAACTCAAAAAAAAATTAATGGCTTATTTGCTACGCAAGGTTTATTTGATAATATATACGTTTCGTAATGCTTAAGTTGTTACAACTGTCCTGATATAAGTAGGACACGTGACATCCCGGCAACTTTGAAAAAAAACAAGAACTTTATATATTTTATCGGTCAACCGATAAATCGGTCAGGCTCTGATTATAGGAGCCGAATGTACAATAATATTAATAATATCTGTCACTCACACATGCACACGCGTACCCCCACTCCCCAATAGAATGTATTCTAGTGTCAAACCAAAGCTCAGACTTAAGAATCTACACAAATCCTGCAGTAACCATGAACTCTTCAACTGTGGCATTTCACTTGGATAGGTCCTACAATGTATGAATAGTATAACATCCCTATGTACTGCATCTCTTTATCATGTTGTATAATCAAGTTACTTCTACTAAATAGTTAAATGTATTCACCATTGTCCACCTATGATGAAGCTCTGTTTGCATGTAAGAATTCTTGAACATTTAGTTACGTAATAATAAGTGGTGATTTATTCATCTCAACTTTGCGACGAAAACCAAAATGCTAAATAATGCATCTGCCATATAACAGAAAAAATTTACTAGAGATTATAAAAAGGGTTATATAATTACCAGTTTCTAGAAAGAGAAAGCATATTGTTTAAAAAACGTTAAACCAAACTTTTATGACAGTGGAACTACTTTTATAACTAAAATACATTCGTTAAATAAATAAAAATCGGTCACAGGACCCTATAACATGAAATGTTCTTATTTAATCAAATATGGCCTTAAATAAAAATAAAAATCTAAGCGATGAACAAATCACCACCCTGTCTGTTTCCAGTTTGGGTGTTTGTGTTGTCTATGATCTACTGATGGTCTGACCAGTTGAACAGACAGACACACCCATTAGCTATTCTCCAACCAACACTATAGAAAGACAAACTTAAAATAACACATTCCTTTAAACAGTAGAGTATCATAATACAAGAGCAAAATTAAACTTGAGTGTTAACTTACTGGAAGTACAGTTTATCCTGATACAGTCTAGATGGGGAAGAATAAATGACAGATGAAATTGCATCCTTCAAGGTTATAGCTGCAGACATCCAAAAACAAGAATTCCACCCTTCCGGGGACGTCCACATGCAGAGAGGCGGCCATTTTGTAAAAGGGGGAGGGGTCTCTATAAACTCTTAGGTGTTAGCCTGTTAGCGTACATTACACATTTCTAGCTTTAATTCTACAAGTTTGACTCCAATTGCAATATGATTTTAATAACTAGTAATGTATCAGGTATAATTAATATGTTCACAAATGTCAAATCGTTGGTCCATATACAAAAATAGTTATGGCTTATATGGACATTAGTTGGGTGTTGTATGGTAAAATGTACATAGCGCTTTTGCATCACTTGTTAAAGTTCTGAAATTAACTGAGTTCTGTGACCACTACTATAACACTTAGATTATACACATATGGGCAAATGTAATTTATTTAAATCTGCATAACAAGGACACTGGCTGTCTACATTTTGAAAATGGCCGCTTTTTATTTTACCAACCACATAGATTCTTCAACCCAGCATAGACTTTCATTTTGGAATAGTTTCCTTTTTTTTTAAAGCTCAAAGTCTACAGCTCCAAAGCTTTCACACCAACTTGTTGACTAAACGGGCTATTAAAATCATATGTCTGATGTTAGCAAGAAGGTGGAGCTATTCATATTGGAGCTACGGATCTTTGAAACACAGTGCAACGCTATTATACTTGACACCGGAATAAACGTACACATCAAATAAAAATCGTATTTGTAATCTGAGATAGTGAATATCAAAAGGCGAATTGATTGGTGAAAGATACTTGACTAGTTCCTTCACTGACAGCAGATTCCTGCCTGTTGTACAGGTTTCTGTGGTGGACAATTTGAGACGGCCTATGGGATCCTACGAAAGATATTCTGGGTTGGTCACCATGTGGCTGGTGGGTTCATGTGTCGTCAACCGCAACAGAAAAGTGGGAGCGAACAGCCGCGATCCAATCAGCGCCAGCACCATGCAGAGGCACAAGACCATTGTATCTAACAGTCCAGGATAGACTGTAGAAATATATGTTGTTTCTATAAAATGATGTATCATATGAGTTTAGCTAAACACATTAAGAATATCTATCTCTTCAACACTTAAATGTGGATATGTGATGCTCGTTATTGACGTTGTACTTCATACAACAAGTTAATTGTGTAGAGTACTTTTGTGTAGCCAATTTTTATAGTTGCATTGCATCTGTAGCTCAGCTGGTAGAGCACGGCGCTTGTAACGCCAAGGTAGTGGGTTCGATCCCCGGGACCACCCATACACAAAAAAAAAAATATGCACGCATGACTGTAAGTCGCTTTGGATAAAAGCGTCTGCCAAATGGCATATTATTATTATTATTATTATTATTATTATTTGTATAAAGGTAGAATTACAACTTATTAAACTACTTCAGTAACTAACATTAGCATATCAATACTACTGTACCTATTATAATAACGACTACAAACTATTATGACAAATACCCAGCTTTAATAAAGATTTAATCAATCTTAACGACACAATGTGTAAATATAGGTTATGTATACTAGTGCTTCTTTCCTTTATGTAACACAGTGGTGTGTTTGTCAAAAGAGAGAAGGAAGGCAGCCAGCTGCAGGTTTGGCTGGGCTCTGTTCTCGGGCTGTTCGCTTGACGGGCCGCAGGCTTAAGGCCTTTGAAGGGGTGAATACCATCTTTTGACAAAGCATGATGGGAAATGGAGTTGTATATAGTATGCGTACACCATAAACAGAGAGAAGGAGAACAAACCCAAAATCAAAAGCCAGGAAGTTACAACTTGAAGACAAGAAGATGATGTTAGTGGAAAATGTAAAGTAAAGATTTTTCTTTCTCAATTTCCTCTAGGTGATGAGCTGAGAATGAGTTGGAGTAAAGGTGTCAGCATGCTTCAGTTCGGCTGGCGGCTAGCCAAACGGAGCGAGTGTGCTCGCATACTCCCTTAAAAGACATTCGCTTGAAAAACTAGAAAAAAAGCGCCAATAGTACTGATTGTCCATTTTGAGATGCCGTAGCCAGTATACACTTCCTCAAAATAGTCAGAATTAATCGAAGATAACAAAAAAAATCGGTCATTAATTTTGACATTTTTGCCGAAGAGATCTTAGTTCTTAGTAATTTTACAAGTAAGATGTTTGGTGCAGTATTTCTCAAAGACAAAATGTGCATGAGAACGTGTTATCTCTCGTTGAATGACAACAAAGCTCAGTTGGTAGAGCATGGCGCTTGCAATGGCAGGGTTGTGGGTTTGATTCCCACAGGGGACTAGTATGAAAAAGTATGAAAATGTATGCACTCACTACTGTAAGTAGCTCTGGATAAGAGTGTCTGCTAAATGCCGTAAATGTAAAAAAAAAAAAAAAAAAATGTACTGAAGAATCCCTACTGTTGACCAATCACCGATGAAGCGGCGTAGACTTCGGCTACAAACTTCAGCTTGCCTCAAGAAAAAATGTTGTGTGCCCAAACCGAAAAAACCTTTACCGAAGTCCCCCCCCCCCAAAAAAAACGTCACAAAATGTTGTCATAATATATGCACAAAATCTTCCGAACTGTTTCGTCTGGGAAGCATGCGGACAGCTTAAGTCAACTCTTAGAAAGTCACAGCACTTTAGAATGCTAAAAAATACGTAGTATATGTATTACATTATAATAGCAATAGTGTTCTGTTTAGCAATAGTGTGACAATAAATGAAAATATACTTTTATATCTAGTGATACTGTGACTGTCTCAAAAGTTGTTTTTTTACAGGACTATGAAAATGGCTATGTTTTATCTGTTCAAAAGATGGGCCAGACAGCATGTTTATCAATGACAAGAACTTTCAGAATGAAGCAGTTTAAATAATGCTCAAAAAAAAGTTTTGTTAAAAAGTAGAGTAATTTCTATGAAGAGTCTTATTCAATCAATATCTTATTGATCACAATAAAGTCCATGCAAATAAAAATAAGAACATGTGTTTATCACTATTAATTAAATTATTGCTGTCCTTTATTCTATAAATTAAACTAAGAAAAAAAAAGAATAAAGGCAAATGATAATAATGGAGGGATGGAGACAGCGATGGAAGAGAGAAAGAGACAGCCACGTGGTGTAGTCGGTAGTGGAATACGATACCTAGGTTGACCGTGAGCTTGACCCGGCCCCCATCCAGCTCCAGACGCAGCGTGTCGGCCGAGTCCCGCGAGGTGGTGGCCATGAGCAGGCCGTAGGCCCGCTGGGACATGAAACGCAGAGACACGTCCTCCGCCTCTGTGTGCATCACCTGGGGTACCACCACCTTCATGTACATACTGCCGTCATAACTCAAGATGGACGCCTCTGTCAGGGGGGGAGAGCAAGGGGTGGGGGGGACAGAAGGAGAAAGAGAGAGAGAGAGAGAGAGAGAGAGAGAGAGAGAGAGAGAGAGAGAGAGAGAGAGAGAGAGAGAGAGAGAGAGAGAGAGAGAGAGAGAGAGAGAGAGAGAGAGAGAGAGAGAGAGGAGAGGGAGAGAGGGAGAGAGAAAGAGAGAGAGAGAGAGAGAGAGAGAGGATAGAAATGTGTTAGACACAACATCTGCTGTCACACATCTTGTTTGGGTGGAGAAATCTACATCATAACAGCATGAGATTTTCACACGCACGCACGCACACACACAGACACACAAGCTCCCCAAGCTATTCCCCATTGCTAGTTTCCAATCATCGTTCTCTTCAGGAGAGACTCACTCTAATAATAACAGTCACAATGAGGTAATGTCTTCTCAGCTAGAGCACATCTCCATAGACAACCATCTCTGTATGATGATCTTACATATGGAAATGTCAATACAAATCAAATCAAATCAAATCAAATTTTATTTGGTCACATGCGCCGAATACAACAGGTGCAGACATTACAGTGAAATGCTTACTTACAGCCCTTAACCAACAGTGCATTTATTTTTAACAAAAAAAAGTTAAAATAAAACAACAACAAAAAAAGTGTTGAGAAAAAAAGAGCAGAAGTAAAATAAAATAACAGTAGGGAGGATATATATACAGGGGGGTACCGGTGCAGAGTCAATGTGCGGGGGCGCCGGCTAGTTGAGGTATTTGAAGTAATATGTACATGTGGGTAGAGTTAAAGTGACTATGCATAAATAATTAACAGAGTAGCAGCAGCGTAAAAAGGATGGGGTGGGTGGGCAGTGCAAATAGTCCGGGTAGCCATGATTAGCTGTTCAGGAGTCTTATGGCTTGGGGGTAGAAGCTGTTGAGAAGTCTTTTGGACCTAGACTTGGCACTCCGGTACCGCTTGCCGTGCGGTAGCAGAGAGAACAGTCTATGACTAGGGTGCCTGGAGTCTTTGACAATTTTGAGGGCCTTCCTCTGACACCGCCTGGTATAGAGGTCCTGGATGGCAGGAAGCTTGGCCCCAGTGATGTACTGGGCCGTACGCACTACCCTCTGTAGTGCCTTGCGGTCGGAGGCCAAGCAGTTGCCATACCAGGCGGTGATGCAACCAGTCAGGATGCTCTCGATGGTGCAGCTGTAGAATTTTTTGAGGATCTGAGGACCCATGCCAAATCTTTTCAGTCTCCTGAGGGGGAATAGGCTTTGTCGTGCCCTCTTCACGACTGTCTTGGTGTGTTTGGACCATGATAGTTCGTTGGTGATGTGGACACCAAGGAACTTGAAGCTCTCAACCTGTTCCACTACAGCCCCGTCGATGAGAATGGGGGCGTGCTCAGTCCTCTTTTTTTCCTGTAGTCCACAATCATCTCCTTTGTCTTGGTCACGTTGAGGGAGAGGTTGTTGTCCTGGCACCACACGGCCAGGTCTCTGACCTCCTCCCTATAGGCTGTCTCATCGTTGTTGGTGATCAGGCCTACCACTGTTTTGTCGTCGGCAAACTTAATGATGGTGTTGGAGTCGTGCCTGCCATGCAGTCATGGGTGAACAGAGAGTACAGGAGGGGACTGAGCACGCACCCCTGAGGGGCCCCCGTGTTGAGGATCAGTGTGGCAGATGTGTTGTTACCTACCCTTACCACCTGGGGGCGGCCCGTCAGGAAGTCCAGGATCCAGTTGCAGAGGGAGGTGTTTAGTCCCAGGATCCTTAGCTTAGAGGGCACTATGGTGTTGAATGCTGAGCTGTAGTCAATGAATAGCATTCTCACGTAGGTGTTCCTCTTGTCCAGGTGGGAAAGGGCAGTGTGGAGTGCAATAGAGATTGCATCATCTGTGGATATGTTGGGGCGGTATGCAAATTGGAGTGGGTCTAGGGTTTCTGGGATAATGCTGTTGATGTGAGCCATGACCAGCCTTTCAAAGCACTTCATGGCTACAGACGTCAGTGCTACGGGTCGGTGGTCATTTAGGCAGGTTATCTTAGAGTCCTTGGGCACGGGGACTATGGTGGTCTGCTTGAAACATGTTGGTATTACAGACTCAGTCAGGGACATGTTGAAAATGTCAGTGAAGACACTTGCCAGTTGGTCAGCACATGCTCGGAGTACACGTCCTGGTAATCCATCTGGCCCTGCGGCCTTGTGAATGTTGACCTGCTTAAAAGTCTTACTCACATCGGCTACGGAGAGCGTGATCACATAGTCATCCGGAACAGCTGGTGCTCTCATGCATGCTTCAGTGTTGCTTGCCTCGAAGCGAGCATAGAAGTGGTTTAGCTCGTCTGGTAGGCTTGTGTCACTGGGCAGCTCGCGGCTGTGCTTCCCTTTGTAGTCTGTAATAGTTTTCAAGCCCTGCCACATCCGTCGAGCGTCAGAGCCAGTGTAGTACGATTCAATCTTAGTCCTGTATTGACTCTTTGCCTGTTTGATGGTTCGTCGGAGGGCATAGCGGGATTTCTTATAGGCAGCTCTACCCTTTAGCTCAGTGCGGATGTTTCCTGTAATCCATGGCTTCTGGTTGGGGTATGTACGTACGGTCACTGTGGGGACGACATCATCGATGCACTTATTGATGAAGCCAGTGACTGATGTGGTGTACTCCTCAATGCTATCTGAAGAATCCCGGAACATGTTCCAGTCTGTGCTCGCAAAACAGTCCTGTAGCTTAGCATCTGCGTCATCTGACCACTTTTTTATTAACCGAGTCACTGGTGCTTCCTGCTTTAGTTTTTGCTTATAAGCAGGAATCAGGAGGATAGAGTTATGGTCAGATTTGCCAAATGGAGGGCAAGGGAGAGCTTTGTATGCGTCTCTGTGTGTGGAGTAAAGGTGGTCTAGAGTTTTTTTCCCTCTGGTTGCACATTTAACATGCTGGTAGAAATTAGGTAAAACGGATTTAAGTTTCCCTGCATTAAAGTCCCCGGCCACTAGGAGCACTGCATCTGGATGAGCGTTTTCCTGTTGATTTATGGCCTTGTACAACTCATTCAGTGCAATCTTAATGCCAGCATTGGTTTGTGGTGGTAAATAGACAGCTATGAAAAATATAGATGAAAACTCTCTTGGTAAATAGTGTGGTCTACAGCTTATCATAAGATACTCTACCTCAGGCGAGCAAAACCTCGAGACTTCCTTAGTATTTGATTTTGTGCACCAGCTGTTGTTTACAAATATACACAGACCGCCACCCCTTGTCTTACCGGAGTCAGCCGTTCTATCCTGCCGATGTAGCGTATAGCCCGCTAGCTGTATGTTATCCATGTCGTCGTTCAGCCACGACTCGGTGAAACATAAGTTATTACAGTTTTTAATGTCCCGTTGGTAGGATAACCGTAATCTTAGGTCATCCAATTTGTTATCCAATGATTGAAGATTGGCTAATAGGATTGATGGAAGAGGCAGTTTACTCGCTCGCCGTCGGATCCTTACAAGGCACCCCGATCTACGTCCAATCAATCAATCAATCAATTTTATTTTATATAGCCCTTCGTACATCAGCTAATATCTCGAAGTGCTGTACAGAAACCCAGCCTAAAACCCCAAACAGCTAGTAATGCAGGTGTAGAAGCACGGTGGCTAGGAAAAACTCCCTAGAAAGGCCAAAACCTAGGAAGAAACCTAGAGAGGAACCAGGCTATGAGGGGTGGCCAGTCCTCTTCTGGCTGTGCCGGGTGGAGATTATAACAGAACCATGCCAAGATGTTCAAAAATGTTCATAAGTGACAAGCATGGTCAAATAATAATCAGGAATAAATCTCAGTTGGCTTTTCATAGCCGATCATTAAGAGTTGAAAACAGCAGGTCTGGGACAGGTAGGGGTTCCATAACCGCAGGCAGAACAGTTGAAACTGGAATAGCAGCAAGGCCAGGCGGACTGGGGACAGCAAGGAGTCACCACGGCCGGTAGTCCCGACGTATGGTCCTAGGGCTCAGGTCTCTCAGTTGGCTTTTCATAGCCGATCATTAAGAGTTGAAAACAGCAGGTCTGGGACAGGTAGGGGTTTCGTAACCGCAGGCAGAACAGTTGAAACTGGAATAGCAGCAAGGCCAGGCGGACTGGGGACAGCAAGGTGTCAGCATGCCCGGTAGTCCTGACGTATGGTCCTAGGGCTCAGGTTCTCAGAGAGAAAGAGAGAACGAAAGAATTAGAGAGAGCATACTTAAATTCACACAGGACACTGGATAAGACAGGAGAAGTACTCCAGGTATAACCAACTAACCCCAGCCCCCCGACACATAAACTACTGCAGCATAAATACTGGAGGCTGAGACAGGAGCGGTCCGGAGACACTGTGGCCCCATCCGAAGAAACCCCCGGACAGGGCCAAACAGGAAGGATATAACCCCACCCACTCTGCCAAAGCACAGCCCCCGCACCACTAGAGGGATATCCTCAACCACCAACTTACAATCCTGAGACAAGGCCGAGTATAGCCCACAGAGGTCTCCACCACAGCACAAACCAAGGGGGGGCGCCAACCCAGACAGGAAGATCACGTCAGTAACTCAACCCACTCAAGTGACGCACCCCTCCTAGGGACGGCATGAAAGAGCACCAGCAAGCCAGTGACTCAGCCCCTGTAACAGGGTTAGAGGCAGAGAACCCCAGTGGAGAGAGGGGAACCGGCCTGGCAGAGACAGCAAGGGCTGTTCGTTGCTCCAGAGCCTTTCCGTTCACCTTCACACTCCTGGGCCAGACTACACTCAATCATATGACCTACTGAAGAGATAAGTCTTCAGTAAAGACTTAAAGGTTGAGACCGAGTCTGCGTCTCTCACATGGGTAGGCAGACTGTTCCATAAAAATGGAGATCTATAGGAGAAAGCCCTGCCTCCCGCTGTTTGCTTAGAAATTCTAGGGACAATTAGGAGGCCTGCGTCTTGTGACCGTAGCGTACGTATTGGTATGTACGGCAGGACCAACTCGGAAAGATAGGTAGGAGCAAGCCCATGTAACGCTTTATAGGTTAACAGTAAAACCTTGAAATCAGCCCTTGCCTTAACAGGAAGCCAGTGTAGGGAAGCTAGCACTGGAGTAATATGATCAAATTTCTTGGTTCTAGTCAGGATTCTAGCAGCCGTATTTAGCACTAACTGAAGTTTATTTAGTGCTTTATCCGGGTAGCCGGAAAGTAGAGCATTGCAGTAGTCTAACCTAGAAGTAACAAATGCATGGATTAATTTTTCTGCATCATTTTTGGACAGAAAATTTCTGATTTTTGCAATGTTACGTAGATGGAAAAAAGCTGTCCTTGAAACAGTCTTGATATGTTAGTCAAAAGAGAGATCAGGGTCAAGAGTAACGCCGAGGTCCTTCACAGTTTTATTTGAGATGACTTTACAACCATCAAGATGAATTGTCAGATTTAACAGAAGATCTCTTTGTTTCTTGGGACCTAGAACAAGCATCTCTGTTTTGTCCGAGTTTAAAAGTAGAAAGTTTTCAGCCATCCACTTCCTTATGTCTGAAACACAGGCTTCTAGCGAGGGCAATTTTGGGGCTTCACCATGTTTCATTGAAATGTACAGCTGTGTGTCATCCGCATAGCAGTGAAAGTTAACATTATGTTTTCGAATAACATCCCCAAGAGGTAAAATATATAGTGAAAACAATAGTGGTCCTAAAACGGAACCTTGAGGAACACCGAAATGTACAGTTGATTTGTCGGAGGACAGACCATTCACAGAGACAAACTGATATCTTTCCGACAGGTAAGATCTAAACCAGGCCAGAACTTGTCCGTGTAGACCAATTTGGGTTTCCAGTCTCTCCAAAAGAATGTGGTGATCGATGGTGTCAAAGGCAGCACTAAGGTCTAGTAGCACGAGGACAGATGCAGAGCCTCGGTCTGACGCCATTAAAAGGTCATTTACCACCTTCACAAGTGCAGTCTCAGTGCTATGATGGGGTCTAAAACCAGACTGAAGCATTTCGTATACATTGTTTGTCTTCAGAAAGGCAGTGAGTTGCTGCGCAACAGCTTTTTCTAAAAATTTTGAGAGGAATGGAAGATTCGATATAGGCCGATAGTTTTTTATATTTTCCGGGTCAAGGTTTGGCTTTTTCAAGAGAGGCTTTATCACTGCCACTTTTAGTGAGTTTGGTACACATCCGGTGGATAGAGAGCTGTTTATTATGTTCAACATAGGAGGGCCAAGCACAGGAAGCAGCTCCTTCAGCAGTTTAGTAGGAATAGGATCCAGTATGCAGCTTGAAGGTTTAGAGGCCATGATTATTTTCATCATTGTGTCAAGAGATATAGTACTAAAACACTTAAGTGTCTCTCCCGATCCCAGGCCCTCGCAGAGCTGTGCAGATCCAGGACAGCTAAGCCCTGGAGGAATACGCAGATTCAAAGAGGAGTCCGTAATTTGCTTTCTAATGGTCATGATCTTTTCCTCAAAGAAGTTCATGAATTTATTACTGCTGAAGTGAAAGCCATCCTCTCTTGGGGAATGCTGCTTTTTAGTTAGCTTTGCAACAGTATCAAAAAGAAATTTTGGATTGTTCTTATTTTCCTCGATTAAGTTGGAAAAGTAGGATGATCGAGCAGCAGTGAGGGCTCTTCGGTACTGCACGGTACTGTCTTTCCAAGCTAGTCGGAAGACTTCCAGTTTGGTGTGGCGCCATTTCCGTTCCAATTTCCTGGAAGCTTGCTTCAAAGCTCGGGTATTTTCTGTATACCAGGGAGCTAGTTTCTTATGACAAAAATGTTTTTCGTTTTTAGGGGTGCAACTGCATCTAGGGTATTGCGCAAGGTTAAATTGAGTTCCTCAGTTAAGTGGTTAACTGATTTTTGTCCTCTGACGTCCTTGGGTAGGCAGAAGGAGTCTGGAAGGGCATCAAGGAATTTTTGTGTTGTCTGAGAATTTATAGCACGACTTTTGATGCTCCTTGGTTGGGGTCTGAGCAGATTATTTGTTGCGATTGCAAACGTAATAAAATGGTGGTCCGATAGTCCAGGATTTTGTGGAAAAACATTAAGATCTACAACATTTATTCCATGGGACAAAACTAGGTCCAGAGTATGACTGTGGCAGTGAGTAGGTCCAGAGACATGTTGGACAAAACCCACTGAGTCGATGATGGCTCCGAAAGACTTTTGGAGTGGGTCTGTGGACTTCTCCATGTGAATATTAAAATCACCAAAAATTAGAATATGATCTGCTATGACTACAAGGTCTGATAGGAATTCAGGAAACTCAGAGAGGAACGCTGTATATGGCCCAGGAGGCCTGTAAACAGTAGCTATAAAAAGTGATTGAGTAGGCTGCATAGATTTCATGACTAGAAGCTCAAAAGACGAAAACGCCATTTTTTTTTTTGTAAATTGAAATTTGCTATCGTAAATGTTAGCAACACCTCCGCCTTTGCGGGATGCACGGGGAATATGGTCACTAGTGTAACCAGGAGGTGAGGCCTCATTTAACACAGCAAATTCATCAGGCTTAAGCCATGTTTCAGTCAGGCCAATCACATCAAGATTATGATCAGTGATTAGTTCATTGACTATGACTGCCTTTGAAGTGAGGGATCTAACATTAAGTAACCCTATTTTGAGATGTGAGGTATCACGATCTCTTTCAATAATGGCAGGAATGGAGGAGGTCTTTATCCTAATAAGATTGCTAAGGCGAACACCGCCATGTTTAGTTTTGCCCAACCTAGGTCGAGGCACAGACACAGTCTCAATGGGTATGGCTGAGCTGACTACACTGACTGTGCTATTGGCAGACTCCACTAAGCTGGCAGGTTGGCTAACAGCCTGCTGCCTGGCCTGCACCCTATTTCACTGTGGGGCTAGAGGAGTTAGAGCCCTATCTATGTTGGTAGATAAGATGAGAGCACCCCTCCAGCTAGGATGGAGTCCGCCACTCCTCAGCAGGTCAGGCTTGGTCCTGTTTGTGGGTGAGTCCCAGAAAGAGGGCCAATTATCTACAAATTCTATCTTTTGGGAGGGGCAGAAAACAGTTTTCAACCAGCGATTGAGTGCTGAGACTCTGCTGTAGAGCTCGTCACTCCCCCTAACTGGGAGGGGGCCAGAGACAATTACTCGATGCCGACACATCTTTCTAGCTGATTTACACGCTGAAGCTATGTTGCACTTGGTGACCTCTGACTGTTTCATCCTAACATCGTTGGTGCCGACGTGGATAACAATATCTCTATACTCTCTACACTCGCCAGTTTTAGCTTTAGCCAGCACCATCTTTAGATTAGCCTTAACGTCGGTAGCCCTGCCCCCTGGTAAACAGTGTATGATCGCTGGGTGATTCGTTTTAAGTCTAATACTGCGGGTAATGGAGTCGCCAATGACTAGGGTTTTCAATTTGTCAGAGCTAATGGTGGGAGCCTTCGGCGTCTCAGACCCCGTAACGGGAGGAGTAGAGACAAGAGAAGACTCAGACTCAGACTCCGACTCGCTACATAATGGGGAAAACCGGTTGAAAGTTTCTGTCGGCTGAATGAGCGACACCGGTTGAGCATTCCAACAGTATTTCCCTCCAGAAGCCATGAGAAAGTTGTCCGGCTGCGGGGACTGTGCGGGGGGATTTATACTAACGTTACTATCTGTACTTACTGGTGGCACAGACGCTGTTTCTTCCTTTCCTACACTGAAATTACCCTTGCCTAACGATTGCGTCTGAAGCTGGGCTTGTAGCACAGCTATTCTCGCCGTAAGGCGATCGTTCTCCTGTATATTATGAGTACAGCGACTGCAATTAGAAGACATCATGTTAATGTTACTACTTAGCTTCGGCTGTTGAAGATGTTGACGAACCATGTCCAGATAAAGCGTCCGGAGTGAAAAAGTTGAATAGGAAAATAAAGTAAAGTTGGCAGCAAAAACGCACAGGAAAATGACTCTTCTGTCTCGGGACATTCACTCCTTGGAGGAGAGCGCGCTTTTTCCCAGAATCACCCAGAATGCCACGGGGTACAACACTACACACTGCACAGCTTCAACATTCAATGAATGAAATGGAAAGGAAATGGCAGCACGTGTTAGTGCTGCAGGTACTAACACGTGCAGATATCTCTGTCTCTTCCTCACGCGAATGACGGGGATTTGGGCCTTGTCGGGTGTCTGTATGATATCCTTCGCGGCCGCCTCGTTGAAGAAAAAATATTCGTCCAATACGAGGTGAGTAATCGCTGTCCTGATATCCAGAAGCTCTTTTTGGTTATAAGAGACGATGGCAGAAACATTATGTACAAAATCAATTACAAATAACGTGGAAAAACACACATAATAGTACAAATGGTTAGAGGGCTGTAAAACGGCAGCCATCTTCTCCGGCGCTGTTCTGTTCAATATTAACTGAAAGTGCTTCTATTATAAGAGCAGTACATTTGAAACCTAACCTCATCTCTTCCCCAGGAGTGTGAGAATAAAGAACAGGCAGCCGTGAGTATCGGCATCACCTCCTTCACAGCACTAACAGGAAGTGGTGGACCCCTCTCTGTCTTTTCTCTCACGCACATAACACATGTCTTCAGCATGCTGTGGTCTCCCCTACAGAGCATCCAACTGTACTCATTTACACACAGATGATGGCTCAAGATGGAACACACACACCCACGCTACTATATCCCATCCTGCTCCTATACCTGTCTCCTCACCGTAGAGATGAGAGGGAGAAAGCGCTGCATGGAAATTGCGTTAAATCGGCCGTGAAACAGCTGCTCTGGCAGAGCCGGCTTTACAGAGGAAGACAAGGTGATACCCTACATCCACTGCACTATCACCACTCTGCTCTCTCGCTCTCTCTCTCCTCCTCTTTCTCTTTCTCTGTATATCTATCGCTTCCCGGCATCCAGCCAGTAGCCACAAACACTCATTTAGTCCTCACAGCTGTAAAAACTCCACCCGGGAATCACACACACACACACACACACACACACACACACACACACACACACACACCCTCCCTCAACACAGGGGCAAAGCAACTGCTGACAAACTCTACAATTACATCCTGATCAATACGTTATTATGTACAATTAGATGCTTCTCGTCCTCCTCCACGCCAGGCTCTTCCAAAAGCTACATTTATACCCATCATACCAAGTACAATAGGATGGATGAGGAGAGGAGACGGGAGACACCTCAGGGTACAATGAAGACAGAACCAGGGAGAGAGAGAGAGAGAGAGAGAGAGAGAGAGAGAGAGAGAGAGAGAGAGAGAGAGAGAGAGAGAGAGAGAGAGAGGAGAGAGAGAGGGAGGAGAGAGGAGAGAGAGAAAGAGGGGGAAGAGGGAGGAGAGGGGGGAAGAGGGGGGTGGAATATTGAGGAAGAGGTAGAGAGATGGAGAGAGAAAGTGCAAGAGTTTGATGGGAAAGAGAGTGAAAAAGAGAAAGTGTTAGAGCAAGACAAAGGAAGAGAGGAAGTGAAAGAGAATTAGAGAGAGATAGAGATCAAAATAGAGAGATATATAAAGAGAAAGAGAGAGAAGGACAACTAGCAGAATACACTTGGAGAGGAAACACCTCCTGATAGCATGTCTCTGGTTGAGTGTGACGAGAGATCAAGGAAACACCTCCTGATAGCATATCTCTGGTTGAGTGTGATGAGAGATCAAGGAAACACCTCCTGATAGCATGTCTCTGGTTGAGTGTGACGAGAGATCAAGGAAACACCTCCTGATAGCATGTCTCTGGTTGAGTGTGACGAGAGATCAGAGAGGTTTAACATCCCAGTAAGTGACTGTCAGGCTGATACTAACTGACAGAGCTACAGACCCCTGAGGGACAGACAGACAGACATGTCACTGCAATGTGTTCATATGATAGACATGGTGGCAGGTTATCTTCCACAGGCAAGACATACACAAAGCCCACCAGGTATACTCTGGCATTATGTGGCTGAGCCATGAGGAGAAAGTTAAATATTTTTTTGTTCACTGTGTATTTCCGTTTGCTGATTTTTTTTAGATAAAGCCTGGAATAAAAGAAAAAGGGCTAGCTATAACGAAATTAAATATTTAATTCCAGACATACAGCAAAGGGTATTTATTGAGTGTAGGCGGGTCTCACACTTGAATCTTCGGACCAGGTTTCATTTTTCTGTACTTAGTTTTGTTTTTAGTTTTAATGCTCAAGGGTTATTATTATTGCTTGGATAACCTTATCGGAATATACTGTCTTTGTCCATACAGCCAGCTGGGTTCTCAGTATATCGCACAGACAGAAATGAAATACTCTCCGGGAAGAAGAAAGGCGGGGGTGTTTTTTTCATGATTAACCACTCATGGTGTGATTGTGATAACATACAGGAACCCAAGTCCTTTTGTTCACCCGAACTAGTATACCTCACAATCAATTGCCGGCATATTACCTCCCAAGAGAATTCTCTTCGGTTATAGTCACAGCCATGTATATTCCCCCCTTAAGCCGATACCACGACGGCCCTCAAATAACTTCACTGGACTTTATGCCGCATTTATTGTAGCTGGAGAATTTATCAAAGTAAATTTGAGGAAAACGTTACCGAAGTTCTATCAACACATTGAATGTAGTCCTCGCGCTGCTAAAACACTCTACCACTGCTACTCCAACTTCCGGGATGCCTACAAGGCCCTCCCCCGCCCTCCCTTCGGCAAATCTGATCACAACTCCATTTTGCTCCTCCCTTCCTATAGGCAGAAACTCGAACAGGAAGTACCCGTGCTAAGGACTATTCAACGCTGGTCTGACCAATCGGAATCCACGCTTCAAGATTGTTTTGATCCACGCGGACTGGGATATGATCACGAATACACAGATATGATGACTGAGTTTATTAGGATGTGTATAGGAGATGTTGTACCCACTGTGATTATTTAAACCTACCTTAACCAGAAACCGTGGATAGATGACAGCATTCGCGCAAAACTGAAAGCGCGAACCACCGCATTTAACCATGGCAAGGTGACTGGAAATATGGCCGAATACAAACAGTGTATTTATTCGCTCCATAAGGCAATCAAACAGGCAAAACCTCAGTATAGAGACAAAGTGGAGTTGCAATTCAACGGCTCAGACATGAGACGTATGTGGCAGTGTCTACATAGAATCAAGGACTATAAAAGGAAAACCAGCCACGTCGCGGACACTGACATCTTGCTTCCGGACAAGCTAAACACCTTCTTCGCCCGCTTTGAGGATAACACAGTGCCACAGATGCAGCCCGCCACCAAGGACTGTGGGCTCTCCTTCTCCTTGACCGACGTGAGTAAGACATTTAAGCGTGTTAACCCTTGCAAGGCTGCCGGCCCAGACGGCATCCCTAGCCGCGTCCTCAGAGCATGCGCAGACAAGCTGGCTGGAGTGTTTACGGACATATTCAATCTCTCCCTATCCCAGTCTGCTGTCCCCACTTGCTTCAAGATGTCCACCATTGTTCCTGTACCCAAGAAAGCAAAGGTAACTGAACTAAATGACTATCGCCCAGTAGCACCCACTTCTGTCATCATGAAGTTCTTTGAGAGGCTAGTTAAGGATCATATCACCTCTACCTTACCTGACACCCTAGACCCACTTCAATTTGCTTACCGCCCCAATAGATCCACAGATGATGCAATCGCCATCGCACTGCACACTGCCCTATCCCATCTGGACAAGAGGAATACCTATGTAAGAATGCTGTTCATTTACTATAGCTCAGCATTCAACACCATAGTACCCTCCAAGCTCATCACCCTGGGTCTGAACCCTATCCTGTGCAACTGGACTTCCTGACGGGCCGCCCCCAGGTGGTGAAGGTAGGAAACAACATCTCCACTTCGTTGATCCTCAACACAGGGGCCCCACAAGGGTCCGTGCCTCAGTTGGAGGTGTGCGTGGCAGACGACACAACAGTAGTAGGCCTGATTACCAACAATGACGAGAAAGCCTACAAAGAGGAGCTGAAGGCCCTGGGAGTGTGGTGCCAGGAAAATAACCTCTCCCTCAATGTCGACAAAACAAAGGAGCTCATCGTGGACCAAGAAACAGCAGAGAGAGCACGCCCCTATCCACATCGACGGGACCGCTGTGGAGTAGGTGGAAAGCTTCAAGTTCCTCGGCGTGCACATCACTGATGATCTGAGATGATCCACCCACATAGACAGTGTAGTGAAGAAGGCACAACAGCACCTCTTCAACCTCATGAGGCTGATGAAATTTGGCTTGGCACCTAAAACCCTCACAAACGTTTACAGATGCGCAATTGAGAGGATCCTGTCGGGCTTTATCACCGCCTGGTATGGCAACTGCACCGCCCACAACCGCAGGGCTCTCCAGAGGGTGGTGCGGTCTGCCCAACGCATCACCGTGGGCAAACTACCTGCCCTGCTCGACACCTACAGCACCCGATATGAAGGAAAGGATGTAGAGAGAGGAAGTGATTGGAGAGTATGGATAATGGCAATCTTTCTACTTCAATTTCTACGCCTTCTAATATAGGCACGCATGACTGTAAATCGCGTTGGATAAAAGCGTCTGCGAAATGGCATGTATATATATAATTTGTTGTTATTCTGTTATTTTCTGTTACTGTTCATGTTACATCTCTAACATTATAGTCCTGTTATATTAACCAAGTACTCCCCCCCCCCCCCCCCCCCCCCCCCCCCCAATGTTTATACATTATAAACACAGAGCTTATCCAATCCTGCGGCTCACTGAAAGTCTTCATTAAAGCTAGTAATGGGCTGAAAAAGCCACCCTGCCGCCAGTGATTTGACCAATTGAAAATTTGATGAACAATTTTATTCGGCATTACTGCAATTAGCCCATTCAAAGCATTTAATAACATATTCACTACATTGAACAGATAGTACCCAAAAAATAATCGAAAGGAAGTTTGTTTTGAAGTGTCTATCCTATATCTTAGAGATATCAAAAAGATCAGAAAATAATACATACAGTGGGGGAAAAAAGTATTTAGTCAGCCACCAATTGTGCAAGTTCTCCCACTTAAAAAGATGAGAGAGGCCTGTAATTTTCATCATAGGTACACGTCAACTATGACAGACAAATTGAGGAAAAAAAATCCAGAAAATCACATTGTAGGATTTTTTATGAATTTATTTGCAAATTATTGTGGAAAATAAGTATTTGGTCACCTACAAACAAGCAAGATTTCTGGCTCTCACAGACCTGTAACTTCTTCTTTAAGAGGCTCCTCTGTCCTCCACTCGGTACCTGTATTAATGGCACCTGTTTGAACTTGTTATCAGTATAAAAGACACCTGTCCACAACCTCAAACAGTCACACTCCAAACTCCACTATGGCCAAGAACAAAGAGCTGTCAAAGGACACCAGAAACAAAATTGTAGACCTGCACCAGGCTGGGAAGACTGAATCTGCAATAGGTAAGTAGCTTGGTTTGAAGAAATCAACTGTGGGAGCAATTATTAGGAAATGGAAGACATACAAAAAAAAATGTATGCACGCATGACTGTAAGTCGCTTTGGATAAAAGCGTCTGCTAAATGGCATATTATTATTATTATTATTATTACAAGACCACTGATAATCTCCCTTGATCTGGGGCTCCACTCAAGATCTCAGCCTGTGGGGTCAAAATGATCACAAGAACGGTGAGCAAAAATCCCAGAACCACACGGGGGGACCTAGTGAATGACCTGCAGAGAGCTGGGACCAAAGTAACAAAGCCTACCATAAGTAACACACTACGCCGCCAGACGTAGTGCCAGACGTGTCCCCCTGCTTAAGCCAGTACATGTCCAGGCCCGTCTGAAGTTTGCTAGAGTGCATTTGAATGATCCAGAAGAGGATTGGGAGAATGTCATATGGTCAGATGAAACCAAAATATAACTTTTTGGTAAAAATTCAACTCGTCGTGTTTGGAGGACAGAGAATGCTGAGTTGCATCCAAAGAACACCATACCTACTGTGAAGCATGGGGGTGGAAACATCATGCTTTGGGGCTGTTTTTCTGCAAAGGGACCAGGACGACTGATCCGTGTAAAGGAAAGAATGAATGGGGCCATGTATCGTGAGATTTTGAAAGAAAACCTCCTTCCATCAGCAAGGGCATTGAAGATGAAACTTGGCTGGGTCTTTCAGCATGACAATGATCCCAAACACACCGTCCGGGCAACGAAAGAGTGGCTTCGTAAGAAGCATTTCAAGGTCCTGGAGTGGCCTAGCCAGTCTCCAGATCTCAACCCAATAGAAAATCTTTGGAGGGAGTTGAAAGTCTGTGTTGCCCAGCGACACTGCTCTAGAGGAGATCTGCATGGAGGAATGGGCCAAAATACCAGCAACAGTGTGTGAAAACCTTGTGAAGACTTACAGAAAACGTTTGACCTGTGTCATTGCCAACAAAGGGTATATAACAAAGTATTGAGAAACTTTTGTTATTGACCAAATACTTATTTTCCACCATAATTTGCAAATAAATTCATTAAAAATCCTACAATGTGATTTTCTGGCATTTTTTTTCTAATTTTGTCTGTCATATTTGACGTGTACCTATGATGAAAATTACAGGCCTCTCTCATCTTTTTAAGTGGGAAAACTTGCACAATTGGTGGCTGACTAAATACTTTTTTTCCCCACTGTATATATATATACACTACTGTTCAAAAGTTTGGGGTCATTTAGAAATGTCCTTATTTTTGTCCATTAAAATAACATGAAATTGATCAGAAATACAGTGTAGACATTGTTAATGTTGTAAATGGCTATTGTAGCTGTAAACGGCTGATTTTTTATGGAATATCTACATAGGCGTACAGTGACCCATTATCAGCAACCATCAGTCCTGTGTTCCAATGGCATGTTGTGTTTGCTAATCCAAGTTTATCATTTTAAAAGGCTAATTGATCATTAGAAAACCCTTTTGCAATTATGTTAGCACATCTGAAAACTGTTGTGCTGATTAAAGAAGCAATAAAACTGGCCTTCTTGAGACTAGTTGAGTATCTGGAGCATCAGCAATTGTAAGGTCTACACCTGTTGTATTCAGCACACGTGGCAAATAACATTAGATTTTATTTGATTTATAATAGTTTAATAAGTTCACATCAAATCAAATCAAATTGTATTTGTCACATCCACCGAATACAACAGGTGTAGACCTTACCGTGAAATGCTTACTTACAAGCCCTTCACCAACAATGCAGTTCAAGAAATAGAGTTAAGAAAATATTTACTAAATCAACTAAAGTAAAAAATTATATAAAAAGTAACACAATAATTTAACAATACCTAGGCTATATACAGGGGTACCGGTACCAAGTCAATGTGCGGGGATACAGGTAATTTGTAAATGTAGGTAGGGGTAAAGTGACAATGCATAGATAATAAACAGCGAGTAGCAGCAGTGTAAAAACTTTTTCAGCAGTCTTATGGCTTAGGGGTAGAAGCTGTTAAAGAGCCTTTTGGACCTAGACATGGCACTCCGGTACCGCTTGCCGTGCGGTAGCAGAGAGAACAGTAAATTACTTGGGTGATTGGAGTCTTTGACAATTTTCTGGGCCTTCCTCTGACACCGCCTAGTATATAGGTCCTGGATGGCAGGAAGCTTGGCCCCAGTGATGTACTGGGCCGTACGCACTACCCTCTGTAGCACCTTATGGTCGGATACCGAGCAGTTGCCATACCAGGCGGTGATGCAATCGGTCAGGATGCTCTCGATGGTGCAGCTGTATAACTTTTTGAGGATCTTTTCAGTCTCTTGAGGGGGAAAAGGTGTTGTTGTGCCCTCTTCACGACTGCCTTGGTGTGTTTGGACCATGATAGTTTGTTCGTGATGTGGACACCAAGTAACCTGAATGTCTCGACCCGCTCCACTACAGCCCTGTTGATGTGAATGGGGCGTGTTTGGCCCATTCCTTTTCCTGTAGTCCACGATCATCTCCTTTGTCTTGCACACATTGAGGGAGAGGTTGTTGTCCTAGCACTACACAGCCAGGTCTCTGACCTCCTACACTATAGGCTGTCTCATCGTTGTCGGTGATCAGCCTACCACTGTTGTGTCATCAGCAACCTTAATGATGGTGTTGGAGTCGTGCTTGGCAAAACAGTCGTGGGTTAACAGGGAGTACAGGAGGGGACTAAGCATGCACCCCTGAGGGGCCCCCGTGTTAAGGATCAGCGTGGCAGATGTGTTGTTGCCTACCCTTACCACCTGGGGGTGGCCCATCAGGAAGTCCAGGATCCAGTTGCAGAAGGAGGTGTTTAGTCCCAGGGTCCTTAGCTTAGTGATGAGCTTTGTGGGCACTATGGTGTTGATCACACAGTCGTCCGGAAGAGCTGGTGCTCTCATGCATGCTTCAGTGTTGATTGCCTCGAAGCGAGCCTAAAAGGCATTTAGCTCGTCTGGTAGGCATGCGCCACTGGGCAGCTCGCGGCTGGGTTTCCCTTTGGAGTCCGTAATAGTTTTCAACCCCTGCCACATCTGATGAACGTCAGAGCCGGTGTAGTAGGATTCAATCTTAATCCTGTATTGATGCATTGCCTGTTTGATTGTTCGTCTGAGGGCATAAAGGGATTTCTTATAAGCGTCCGGATTAGTGTCCCACTCCTTGAAAGCGGCAGCTCTAGCCTTCAGCTCGGTGCGGATGTTGCCTGTAATCCATGGCTTCTTGTTGGGACATGTACGGTCACTGTGGGGACGACGTCGTTGATGCACTTATTGATGAAGCCGATGACCGAGGTGGCATACTCCTCAATGCCATTGGATGAATCCCGGAACCTATTCCAGTCTGTGCTTTCAAAACAATCCTGTAGCGTAGCATCCGCATCATCTGACCACTTCCGTATTTAGCGAGTCACTGGTACTTCCTGCTTTAGTTTTTGCTTATAAGCAGGAATCCGGAGGATAGAATTATGGTCAGATTTGCCAAATGGAGGGCGAGAGAGAACTTAGTATGTGTCTCTGTGTGTGGAGTAAAGGTGGTCTAGAGTTTTTTTTCCTCTGGTTGCACGTGACATGCTGGTATATATTAGGTAAAACGGATTTAAGTTTGCCTGCATTAAAGTCCCCGGCCACTAGGAATACCGCTTCTGGATGTGCATTTTCTTGTTTGCTTATGGCCTTATGCAGCTCATTTAGTGCGGTCTTAGTGCCAGCATCAGTTTGTGTTGGCAAATAGATGGCTACAAAAAAATACAGTTGCTTTCAAAAACTCCACACAGTTGTCACTGACTAGTTGGATATTCATTTCCCACTGAGCAAACAATTTCTGTACTTGAATTCATTTTGGTCAGGTTTTTGCTTTGGCAGAGCTTATTTTTTTATTGCCACTTGTCAATAAAACTCATAAATGCAACTGATATTGTCAAACTGTTTCTACTTGTAGCCCTGGTTGTCCTGAAAAGAAAACGTGTCCCTGCTAACATTACCAGTAGCCTACTGAATGTGGTCCTGCTAACATTACAATTTATTGACTAAATTCATCTTGCCACTAGACTATATCTGACTGGGTAAATAACTGTTTTGAGTTAATGTGGACCCAGTGTCACGATCGTTGAGAGACAGGTCAGACCAAGGTGCAGCGTGAAAAGCGTTCATGTTTATTTACTAAATAAACATACAACAAAACAAGAAACAACGTAACGTGAAGTCCTCCGGCTATACACATACAAGCCTAAACGGAACAAGATACCACAACTAAGGTAGGCAACATGGCTACCTAAGTATGATCCCCAATCAGAGACAACGAGTGACAGCTGCCTCTGATTGGGAATCACACCCGGCCAAACATAGAAATACAACCTAGATCTACAACATAGAAATACACTAACATAGATCTCAACAGAAAACTCACACCCTGACCCAACCAACAAGAGTTCTCTCGATCAGGGCGTGACAGTACCCCCCCCCCCCCAAAGGTGCGTACTCCGGCCGCACCAACCTGACTAATTAGGGGAGGGTCCGGGTGGGCCTTCGTCCTCGGAGGCGGATCCGGCTCCGGGCGTGACGACCTCTCCCTCTCTGGCTCCGGAGTGGAGCCGCTGACCGGAGCTGGACTAGGGACCGGTGGAGCGGACTGCTCTGGCTCCGTAGTGGATCCGCTGACCGGAGCTGGACTGGGCACCGGTGGAGCGGACTGCTCTGGCTCCGGAGTGGATCCGCTGACCGGAGCTGGACTAGGCACCGGTGGAGCGGACTGCTCTGGCTCCAGAGTGGAACAGCTGACCGGAGCTGAACTGGACCCCGGTGGAGCGGACTGCTCTGGCACTGGACTGGAGCAGCCGACCGGGGATGGACTAGGCACCAGTAGAGCGGATTGCCCTGGAACTGGAATGGAGCCGCTGACCGGAGCTGAACTAGGCACCGGTGGAGCGGACTAATCTGGCTCCGGAGTGGAGCCGCTGACTGGAGCTGGACTGGGCACCGGTGGAGCGGACTGCTCTGGCTCCGGAGTGGATCCGCTGACCGGAGCTGAACTGGACCCCGGTGGAGCGGACTGCTCTGACTCCGGAATGGAGTCGCTGACCGGAGCTGGACTAGGCACCGGTGGAGCGGACTGCTCTGACTCCGGAGTGGAGCAGCTGACCGGTGCTGGACCAGGCACCGGTGGAACGGGCACGGGCCGTGCCGGACTGGGAACACGCACCCCTGGCTTGGTGCGAGGAGCAGGCACGGGCTGGGCCAGACTGGAGACACGCACCACAGGTCTGGTGCGAGGAGCAGGAACGGGCCGGGCCGGGCTGGGAACACGCACCACTGGCTTGGTGCGGGGAGCAGGTACGGGGCGTACCGGACTGGGAACACGCACCACTGGCTTGGTGCGGGGAGCAGGTACGGGGCGTACCGTGCTGGCGACACGCACCACTGGTTTGGTGCAGGGAGCAGGTGCAGGCCGTGCCGGACTGGATACAGGCACCACTGGTTTGGTGTGAGGAGCTGGCAAAGGCCGTACCGGGCTGTGGAGGCACACTGGAGGTCTGGAGCTTAGAGCTGGCACAACCCGTCCTGGCTGGATGCCCACTTTCGCACGCCACGTGCGGGGCGCTGGCACAGGACGCAGTGGGCTGTGAATGCGCACTGGCGACACAGTGCATATCTCCGCATACATAGGTTCCTCAATGAACACACGCTCCTTTTGTTGCCTGACCAGCTCCTCTCTCCGTGCCTCCACTACTTCCTTCTCCCTTTGAGCCTCCTGTAGCGCCTCCCTCTGAACGGATAACTCCTGCTCCCTCTGAGCTAACAGCCCCCGTAACGTTGTAGCCTCCTCTCTCAGACTGCTCCAGTCCTTCTCTCTCTCTCGCCAATCCTCCTCCAGTGAGGACTCCTCCGGGAGCCCCCACGAGTTAGGGAACAGAACCTCATCGTCGTCGTCATCCTCCGACTCCTCCGTGTAAAACTGTTCCCATTCCTGTTCCCATGGTCGTAGGGACTCCAACTGGAACCCCACCGGGTACAGTGGTCGGGGCTCTTCTCTCTCTATTCCCGACCACCCCTCTAGCCCCCCCAAAAAATGTTCTTGGGGTTGCCTCTCGGGCTTCCTCAGTGGTTGGTCCCGTTGGCGTTGTCGTTGATCCTCTCTTGCGAGGGCCTGTACCTTCGCCCAGGGTCCTTTCCCAGCGAATATCTCCTCCCATGACCACCATTTGCCCACCTGTGACAAAGCTATTCGCTCCTCCTCGGCACGCTGCTTGGTCCTTTTGTGGTGGGATCTTCTGTCACGATCGTTGAGAGACGGGTCAGACCAAGGTGCAGCGTGAAAAGCGTACATGTTTATTAACTAAATAAACATACAACAAAACAAGAAACAACGTAACGTGAAGTCCTCCGGCTATACACATACAAGCCTAAATGAAACAAGATCCCACAACTAAGGTAGGCAACATCAGAGACAACAAGCAACAGCTGCCTCTGATTGGGAATCACACCCGGCCAAACATAGAAATACAACCTAGATCTACAACATAGAAATACACTAACATAGATCTCAACAGAAAACTCACACCCTGACCCAACCAACAAGAGTTCTCTCGATCAGGGCGTGACAGCCAGTGACTTGGACCAGGACTCGAGCCTTGGGACTCAGACTTTAGCCATAGGCACTTGTGACTTGACTCGTGACTCGACCACTGGTGACTCGGACTCGAGCGCAGGAGACTTGGGACTCGATTGGGACTCGAGGTTCAGTGACCCTACTACATCACTGGGCGGAACAGTCATCAGCTCCCATTCAAAGTCAACGTGGCTGTTGTGTGGAACGGTGGTAACAATGGTAGTGTGTGTGTGTGTGTGTGTGCATCAAAATCAAATCACATTTTATTTGCCACATGAGCCAAATTCAACAGGTGTAGACCTTACAGTGAAATGCTTACTTACAAGCCCTTAACCAACATTGCAGTTTTAAGAAATGAAAAACAAAAGTGTTAAGTAAAAAATAGATAAGTAAATAATTAAAATAGCAAATTATTAAAGAGCAGCAGTAAAATAATGAATTACAAATAACGCGAAAAAACACACATAATAGTACAATTGGTTAGAGGTCTGTAAAATGGCAGCCATCTCCTCCGGCACCATTCTAGTGCCATGTGTGTGTGTGCATCTGAGAGTGTGAAAATGAAATCAGTAACTCATTGTAATTGACCCGATGATGAAGAAGATGAACATGAGCAGGAGGAAAAGGCAGACTGATTTTAAAGTCAGCTTCACTATGCATAATTACCACACAAATTAGACAGGAAAGAGAAGGTACAATTAGGATAAACGCTTGGAGGATTTTAACTTGAAAAGGAGAGAGTTTTGCTGCAATCTGCGAAGCTCTCTGTGAGGGCAGCCGAGGCGTAGCATGAAGTTGATCTAACAGGTGTGCTCATATAGGATCTAGGATCTAGAAAAACACACACACACACGAACACACAGGAACATTTGCACACGTGCACACGTGTACGCACACTTGAAAGCATGAATGTTGCCACACACAGCTGTTCTCCTTTACTCTAACCTCTAAGGGAATCTAGTTGGAGAGTCTTCACAAATGGTAGCCTTTCAAAGCAAAATGCCACTGCTATTTCAAGGCCCCAGCCCTGAGTGCTTGCCAGTGGATTAAATTAGATCCCCCCCCACCCCACCCCCCCACACACACACCCCCCCCGACACACACACATGCACACACTACAAAGTTAGGATTAGGGAGGCACACACAGACAGACAGAAATAAATAAGATACCTTTAGAGAACAGATTTGGTTCTGAACCACTGCAGAGGCAGCCATAATATATAAACGTCTCACGGTTTTTATCAAATGGAAGTGCATTGATCCTGAGCTATTGTATCAATGTTTTCTCTCAGTGGACGTCAATCAGTGGTGATTATTTGTGGCACAGCGCCCACAGAGGACAAAATATGAAAAATGAACCCATAATGTGTTGAGATGTTACATGCCCTTAAAATGTCCTCTGTGAGCCTCAGATGCGAAGGGGGAGAGAGACTGCAGATCTCCCAAACAACCACATGGTGGAGGCAGAGACCATACTCACCAATATGCTACACTGTAGTATGATGGGTGAGACAGAGACAGGGAGAAAGAGAAAGAGAGACGGGGAGAGAGGTATAAAGGTGAGAGAGAGGGGGGTAGAGAAATAGAGAGATAAGGAGGGAGAGAGAGACGGGGAGAGAGGTATAAAGGTGAGGGGGGGAGAGAAATAGAGAGATAAGGAGACGGGAGAGAGGTATAAAGGTGAGGGAGGGGGGGGGGGGAATAGAGAAATAAGGAGAGAGAGAGAGACAGCGTCACTCTACTAGAATCTGAAATCAAATGTCTACTGTTTGCTGATGATCTGGTGCTTCTGTTCCCAACCAAGGGGGGCCTACAGCAGCACCTAGATCTTCTGCAGAGATTCTGTCAGCACTGGGCCCTGACAGTAAATCTCAGGAAGACAAAAATAATGGTGTTCCAAAAAAGGTCCAGTTGCCAGGACCACAATTACTTATCCCACCTAGACACCGTTGCCCTGGAGCATGTTTAGGCCCTTCTTGCCTAAACATCAGCGCCACAGGTAACTTCCACAAATCTGTGAACGATCTGAGAGACAAGGCAAGAAGGGCCTTCTATGCCATCAAAAGGAACATAAAATTCGACATACCAATTAGGATCTGTCTAAAAATACTTTAATCATTTATAGGACCCATTGCCCTTTATGGTTGTGAGGTCTGGGGTCCACTCACCAACCAAGAATTCACAAAATGGGTCAAACACCAAATTGAGAATCTGCATGCAGAATTCTGCAAAAATATACTCTGTGTACAATGTAAAACACCAAATAAATTATGCACAGCAGAATTAGGCCGATACCTGCTAATTATCAAAATCCAGAAAAGAGCCGTTAAATTCTACAACCACCTAAATAGAAGCAATTCCCAAACCTTCCATAACAAAGCCATCACCTACAGAACGATTAACCTGGAGAAGAGTCCCTTAAGCAAGCTGGTCCTGGGGCTCTGTTCACAAACACAAACAGAACCCACAGAGCCCCAGGACAGCAACACAATTAGACCCAACCAAATCATGAGAAAACAAAAAGATAATTACTTGACACATTGGAAAGAAACAGTGCAAACTAGAATGATATTTGGCCCTAAACAGAGAGAACACAGTGGAAGAATACCTGACCACTGTGACTGACCCAAACTTAAGGAAAGCTTTGACTAAGTACAGACTCAGTGAGCATAGCCTTGCTATTGAGAAAGGCTGCCCGAAGGCAGACCTGGCTCTCAAGAGAAGACAGGCTATGTGCACACTGCCCACAAAATGAGGTGGAAACTGAGCTGCACGTCCTAACCTCCTGCCAAATGTATGACCATATTAGAGACACATATTTCCCTCAGATTACACAGAATACAAAGAATTTGAAAATGAATCCAATTTTGATAAACTCCCATATCTACTGGGTGAAATACCACAGTGTACCATAACAGCAGCAATATTTGTGACCTGTTGCCACAAGAAAAGTGCAACCAGTGAAGAACCTTTATTTATTTTCCTTTTTGTGCTTTAACTATTTGCACATTGTTACAACACTGTATATAGACATAATATGACATTTGAAATGTCTTTATTCTTTTGGAATTTTTGTGAGTATAATGCTTACTGTTCATTTTTTATTGTTCATTTCACTTTTGTTTATTATCTATTTCACTTGCTTTGGTGTCACGATCGTTAGACGGAGTAGACCAAGGCGCAGCGTGATGAACGAACATGTTTATTTATCGTTAGTGATAATACAAACAATAACCAAAACAACAAACGATACGTGCAGTCCTACGGTACAGACCAAAAGGAACAAACCAACTGGAACAAGATCCCACAACTATTGTGGGAAAACAGCCTCTATAAATATGGCTCCCAATCAGAGACAACCAGCAACAGCTGACACTCGTTGCCTCTGATTGGGAACCACTCTGGCCAACACAGAAATACAAACATAGAATATACACACCCTGGCTCAACATATAGAGTCCCCAGAGCCAGGGTGTGACATTTGGCAATGTAAATATACAGTGCCTTGCTAAGGTATTCATCCCCTTGGCGTTTTTCCTATTTTGTTGCATTACAACCTGTAATTTAAATGGATGTTTATTTGGATTCCATGTAATGGACATACACAAAATAGTCCAAATTGGTGAAGTGAAATGAAATGAAAAAAAAATATTCTAAGAAATAAATAATGTAAAAGTGGTGCATGCATATGTATTCACCCCCTTTGCTATGAAGCCCCTAAATAAAATCTGGTGCAACCAATTACCTTCAGATGTCACATAATTAGTTAATGTGCAATCTAAGTGTCACATGATTTCAGTATATATACACCTTTTCTGAAAGGCCCCAGAGTCTGCAACACCACTACGCAAGGGGCACCACCATGCAAGCGGCACCATGAAGACCAAGGAGCTCTCCAAACAGGTCAAGGACAAAGTTGTGGAGAAGTACAGATCAGGGTTGGGTTATAAAAAAAGATCTGAAACTTTGAACATCCCACGGAGCACCATTAAATCCATTATTACAAAATTGAAATAATATGGCACCACAACAAACCTGCCAAGAGAGGGCTACCCACCAAAACCCACGGACCAGGCAATGAGGGCATTAATCAGAGAGGCAACAGACACCAAATATAACCCTGAAGGAGCTGCAAAGCTCCACAGCGGAGATTGGAGTATCTGTCCATAGGACCACTTTAAAACATACACTCCACAGAGCAGGGCTTTACGGAAGAGTGGCCAGAAAAAAAACATTGCTTTATGAAACAAATAAGCAAACACGTTTGGAGTTCGCCAAAAGGCATGTGGGAGACTCCCCAAACATATGGAAGAAGGTACTCTGGTCAGATGAGACTAAAATTGAGCTTTTTGGCCATCAATGAAAAAGTTATGTCTGGCGCAAACCCAACACCCCAGTGTGAAGCATGGTGGTGGCAGCATCATGTTGTGGGGATGTTTTTCATCGGCAGGGACTGGGAAACTGGTCAGAATTGAAGGGATGGCGCTAAATACAGGGAAATTCTTGAGGGAAACCTGTTTCAGTTTTCCATAGATTTGAGACTGGGACGGAGGTTCACCTTCCAGCAGGACAATGACCCTAAGCATACTGCTAAAGCAATACTCGAGTGGTTTAAGGGGAAACATTTAAAAGTCTTAAAATGGCCTAGTCAAAGCCCAGACCTCAATCCAATTGAGAATATGTGGTATGACTTAAAGATTGCTGTACACCAGCGGAACCCATCCAACTTGAAGGAGCTGGAGCAGTTTTGCCTTGAAGAATGGACAGAAAATCCCAGTGGCTAGATGTGCCAAGCTTATAGAGACATACCCCAAGAGACCTGCAGCTGTAATTGCTGCAAAAGGTGGCTCTACAAAGTATTGACTTTGGGGGGGTGAATAGTTATGCACGCTCAAGTTTTCTGTTTTTTTGTCTTATTTCTTGTTTGTTTCACCCCACAAAATATGTTGCATCTTCAAAGTGGTAGGCATGTTGTGTAAATCAAATGGTACAAACCCCCCCAAAATAAAATGTAATTAATGCTAGGTTGTAAGGCAACAAAATACAAAAAATTCCAAGGGGGGTCAACACTTTCACAAGCCACTGTATGTTTCCCATGCCAATAAAGCCCCTTAAATTGGAATTGAATTGAGAGAGAGAGAGAGAGAGAGAGAGAGAGAGAGAGAGAGAGAGAGAGAGAGACAGACTTCTCCGAATATGTTTATGCATCCAGAGAGAGTTTAAAGCTACTATCAAACAAGTAATGGTTTGTAGGTATTGAAGTCATTGTACTACGGCGGACTGAAACAAATGTTTAGTCAGTGTTGCAATATTTTGAGTGTGGGTTTGGCTTGGTTCCCAGTCGAATGACACACAGTGAATCCACCTTCCTGACTGCAGCCGAGAGGAACATTATTCACTGGTTTCACTACACTGGACTAGACTAGACGTCAAACTCCCCTCAGATACAGATGTACTCTCTTAATTTGCATAGAATTTTCCTGCACAGCGAGAAATGTAACTTGTTGTGTATTCAGTGTTTAAAAAGGCTTCTAAAGTTTGTAATTTCCACGTACAAATGTCAAACTTGATTTGCCCTAATGAAAACTGTGTAATCCTCTACAAAAATGTAAATTCATTTTAATCCACCTAATAATTCACATTGTGTCATGTTGTATAATGATAGGAGACAGGCGCAGGAATACGTAATAGGGGACGAGGACGAAGCCCAAAACAAACACGTATATACAGTTGAAGTCGGAAGTTTACATACACCTTAGCCAAATACATTTAAACTCAGTTTTTCACAATTCCTGACATTTAATCCTATTAAAAATTCCCTGTCTTAGGTCAGTTAGGATCACCACTTTATTTTAAGAATGTGAAATGGCAGAATAATAGTAGAGAAAATGATTTATTTCAGCTTTTATTTCATTCATCACATTCAAAGTGGGTCAGAAGTTTACATACACTCAATTTGTATTTGGTAACATTGCCTTTAAATTGTTTAACTTGGGTCAAATGTTTCGGGTAGCCTTCCACAAGCTTCCCACAATATGTTGGGTGAATTTTGGCCCATTCCTCCTGACAGAGCTGGTGTAACTGAATCAGGTTTGTAGGCCTCCTTGCTCGCACACACTTTTTCAGTTCTACCCACAAATTTGAGGTCAGGGCTTTTGATGGCCACTCCAATACCTTGACTTTGTTGTCCTTAAGCCATTTTGCCACAACTTTGGAAGTATGCTTGGGGTCATTGTCCATTTGGAAGACCCATTTGCGACCAAGCTTTAACTTCCTGACTGATGTCTTGAGATGTTATTCAATATATCCACATAATTTTCCTTCCTCATGATGCCATCTATTTTGTGAAGTGCACCAGCCCCTCCTGCAGCAAAGCACCCTCACAGCATGATGCTGCCACCCCCGTGCTTCACGGTTGGGATGGTGTTCTTCGGCTTGCAAGCCCCCCCTTTTTCCTCCAAACATAACAATGGTCATTATGGCCACAGTTCTATTTTTGTTTCATCAGACCAGAGGACATTTCCCCAAAAAGTACGATCTTTGTCCCCATGTGCAGTTGCAAACCATAGTCTGGCTTTTTTATGGCGGTTTTAGAGCAGTGGCTTCTTCCTTGCTGAGCAGCCTTTCAGGTTATGTCGATATAGAACTCGTTTTACTGTGGATATAGATACTTTTGTACCTGTTTCCTCCAGCATCTTCACAAGGTCCTTTGCTGTTGTTCTGGGATTGATTTGCACTTTTCGCACCAAAGTACGTTCATATCTAGGAGACAGAACGCGTCTCCTTCCTGAGCAGTGTGACGGCTGCGTGGTCCCATGGTGTTTATACTTGCGTACTATTGTTTGTACAGATGAACGCAGTACCTTCAGGCGTTTGGAAATTGCTCCCAAGGATGAACCAGACTTGTGGAGGTCTACACATTTTTTTCTGAGGTCTTGGCTGATTTCTTTAGATTTCCCATGATGTCAAGCAAAGATGCACTGAGTTTGAAGGTAATCCTTGAAAAACATCCACAGGTACACCTCCAATTGACTCAAATGATGTCAATTAGCCTATCAGAAGCTTCTAAAGCCATGACATCATGTTCTGTAATTTTCCAAGCTGTTTAAAGGCATAGTCAACTTTGTGTATGTAAACTTCTGACCCACTGGAATTGTGATACAGTGAATTATAAGTGAAATTGTCTGTCTGTAAACAATTGTTGGAAAAATTACTTGTGTCATGCACAAAGTAGATGTCCTAACCAACTTGCCAAAACTATAGTTTGTTAACAAGAAATTTGTGGAGTGGATGAAAAACGAGTTTTAATGACTCCAACCTAAGTGTATGTAAACCTCCGACTTCAACTGTATATAACAAAGGGATGAAACCCAAACAATAGAGCGAGGTGTAAACCTCTAAATAATACACGGGACGAGACCCGTAATAACAAGTGCACAATTCCACGGTATGTAACCCGTAATACAAAGTACTCACGAGACCAACGGACATGGGACAATTATCGACAAGGACAATGGGGAACAGAGGGCACATATATACATATACTAATCAGGGGGGACCAGGTGTGCCTAATGAGACAAGACAGTCAGGGGTTGATGGTAATGAACCAGGTCAGTGACACCTAGAAGAGCAGCAGTACCGGGGGTTTCCGTGACACATTGTTGCTGCAGTATTCTTTTCCTGCTGTGACAGACTGGTCAAATTAAAGACATGCTCCGGAACTTTGGCGACTAGTAAGTATTTTTTAAACCTCCCACTTTGGGCTATGTAGTTCATACTGTACATGCATAATCAATGAGCGCAATTACTTTCTTACCTCATTAAGCCACAAAATCCCTAGTTTGAAAGTGACTGTGTGGCACCATTTTCCCTACATTTCCCCACAGGTTGGCCAGCCCCCTAGCAATTTGAGTTCCAGCCACTGAGCTTTAGCCCCTCGACATTTCAGTCAAAGCTAGCAAGATGAACACACAGTATAGCGAGAGAGACCAATGACATGGTGCACATATATGCACATATGTGACGTAGTACGCAAGTTTCTGGGACCACTCAAGGCTCGTGTGCGCTACTTTCATAACTACTGAGAGAGAGTGTAATGTTTACTGTTAATTTTTTATTGTTTATTTCACATTTGTTTATTATCTATTTCACTTGTTTCCCGTGCCAAAAAAGCCCTTTGAATTGAATTGAGAGAGAGGTGTGAGAAAAATGTAGATAGAAGGACTGAGAGAGGGATGGAGGAAGAGAGGTGGAGAGAGAGAGAGAGAGAGAGAGAGAGAGAGAGAGAGAGAGAGAGAGAGAGAGAGAGAGAGAGAGAGAGAGGGAGGGAGAGAGAGAGAGAGAGGGAGGACAAACTGCGAGAGAGACGAGGAGACGGAAGCAGAGAAGAAAGGGTGATGAGACACTAACATGCTGACCAGAGAAGAAAGGGTGATGAGACACTAACATGCTGACCAGAGAAGAAAGGGTGATGAGACACTAACATGCTGACCACACCACCCGCTTGCTTGCGCGAGCGTTGCAAAATAAATGTACACATACACCACCGTTCAAAAGTTTGGGGTCACTTAGAAATGTTTTCCATGAAAACATACATGAAATGAGTTTGAATAGGAAATATAGCAAAATGCATATGAAATGTAGGCATTGACAAGGTTAGAAATAATGATTTTTAATTGAAATAATAATTGTGTCCTTCAAACTTTGCTTTCGTCAAAGAATCCTCCATTTGTAGCAATTACAGCCTTGCAGACCTTTGGCATTCTAGTTGTCAATTTGTTGAGGTAATCTGAAGGGATTTCACCCCATCCCACAAGTTGGATTGGCTTGATGGGCACTTCTTACGTACCATACGGTCAAGCTGCTCCCACAACAGCTCAATAGGGTTGAGATCCGGTGACTGTGCTGGCCACTCCATTATAGACAGAATACCAGCTGACTGCTTCTTCCCTAAATAGTTATTGCATAGTTTGGAGCTGTGCTTTGGGTCATTGTCCTGTTGTAGGAGGAATTTGGCTCCAATCAAGCGCCGTCCACAGGGTATGGCATTGCGTTGCAAAATGGAGTGATAGCCTTCCTTCTTCAAGATCCCTTTTACCCTGTACAAATCTCCCACTTTACCACCACCAAAGCACCCCCTGACCATCACATTGCCTCCACCATGCTTGACAGATGGCATCAAGCACTCCTCCAGCATCTTTTCATTTGGTCTGCGTCTCACAAACGTTATTCTTTGTGATCCGAACACCTCAAACTTCGATTCGTCTGTTCATAACACTTTTTTCCAATCTTCCTCTGTCCAGTGTCTGTGTTCTTTTGCCCATCTTAATCTTTTCTTTCTATTGGCCAGTCTGAGAAATTGCTTTTTCTTTGCAACTCTGCCTAGAAGGTCAGCATCCCGGAGTCGCTTCTTCACTGTTGACGTTGAGACTGGTGTTTTGTGGGTACTATTTAATGAAGCTGCCAGTTGAGGACATGTGAGGCATCTGTTTCTCAAACTAGACACACTAATGTATTTGTCCTCTTGCTCAGTTGTGCACCGGGGCCTCCCACTCCTCTTTCTATTCTGGTTAGAGCCAGTTTGCACTGTACTGTGAAGGGAGTAGTACACAGCGTTGTACGAGATCTTCAGTTCCTTGGCAATTTCTCACATGGAATAGCCTTCATTTTTCAGAACAAGAATAGACTGACGAGTTTCAGAAGAAAGTTATTTGTTTTTGGCCATTCTGATCCTGTAATCGAACCCACAATTGCTGATGCTCCAGATACTCATCTAGTCTCAAGAAGGCCAGTTTTATTGCTTCTTTAATCAGCACGACAGTTTTCAGCTGTGCTTATATAATTGCAAAAGGGTTTTCTAATGATCAATTAGCCTTTTAAAATGATAAACTTGGATTAGCAAACACAACGTGCCATTGGAACACAGGACTGATGGTTGCTGATAATGTACGCCTATGTAGATATTCCATAAAAAATCAGCCGTTTCCAGCTACAATAGCCATTTACAACATTAACAATGTCTACACTGTATTTCTGATCAATTTGATGTTATTTTAATGGACCAAAAAATTGCTTTTCTTTAGAAAACAAAGACATTTCTAAGTGAACCCAAACTTTTAAATGGTAGTGTACATGTTATTCAATAATTTCATCCAAACTGCTAGCGTGCATCAAGAATACAGAAGGAGGAGAGATAACTAGAAACTAACTCGCTTTCCCCTTTTATCTGAGGATTAATTTGCGGAGTAGAGAACACATGATTTTGTGTGACTTCAAAATGGGTCATAATTCTACAAAGATTCTACAAGGGCCTTGTGCATTTCAAGCAAAATAACAACCCAATGTTCATATCCTAGGACAAATTAGCTAGCAACTTGCAAGCTAGCTAGCTAAACGTCCATAAATGTTTCATGTGTTTGGACCTGTACCCAAACTAATATAGTTGGTTGAGAGTTTCATTTTGATATTTCAACCTGCGTGTCCTGATCACGTCTGGTGTGGATGGACGTGTGTGCCCGGGTCTAGTCAGCGTGTAAGGTGGGCAGAGGAGAGGATGAAAGATTTGATAAAGTAATGGGAAGGAGAGATGTTGAGGGGAAGAAGTGAGGGATGAAATGAGGGCGGGAGAGGAGAGAGTCACATCCTCGGGCGACACAGAGGGATTTGTGGTGTTTATGTAACGACCTGGAGGGCTCCTAAACAGACGTTCAGCTACAAACACACACACACAAACACACACACAAACACACACTACAAAGTCAGGATTAGGGAGGCACACACACACAGACAGAAATAAATAAGAGACCTTTTAGAGAACAGACGTGGTTCTGAACCACAGCCGAGGTAGCCATCAGAGATAAACGTCTCACTGTTTTTTATCAAATGGAACTGCATTCATCCATATTCAATTGTATTTTACCGTGATAAACATTCTCGGCAGGGTTTAATATTTGAATCTCAGACTCTGAGTCATTGTATCAATGTTTTTCTCTCAGTTGACGTCAATCAGTATGTGTGTAATAACGCTGGACAGCGCTTCCCGAAATACACCTGCATCCAACCAGTACCAACACAAACACACCTAGGTTGTGGGCCTACATGGCCTTAAACTGGCAATGGGAGCTACATTAATGTGTCTGCATGTGCGTACGTGGGTCAGTGTGTGTGTGTGTCTGTCTGTCTGTCTGTGTGTGCATGTGTGCGTGCGTGCGTGCCTGCCTGTCTGTGTGTGTGTGTGTGTGTGTGCGTGCGTGTGTGTGTGCATGTGTGAAGTCCATTTCTTTCTACAAGGTCGATACACATTGACCAATAATTAGTTTACCCACTCTCCAATGGAGAGCCTGCCCTGTCCGTGACTCTATAATGGAGAGGCTGCCCTGTCTGTATTTCTCCAGTGGAGAGGCTGCCTTGTCTATGACTCTCCAATGGAGAGGCTGCCCTGTCCGTGACTCTCCAATGGTGAGGCTGAACTGTCTGTGACTCTCCAATGGTGAGGCTGAACTGTCTGTGACTCTCCAATGGTGAGGCTGCCCTGTCCGTGACTCTCCAATGGAATGGCTGCCCTGTCTGTGTCCTACACACACTTCAGCCCTGTTAATCTTATGATCCACAAAAAACAAAACACCCACAGTCACACTCATATTCACATACCCACACACTCACTCTCTCACAAACACATACACACAAACATCTTGCATTTATCACTGCCTAATAATAGGTCCATGTAATACATCAGAAAATAACCTTGACACAACATTACTGTGAGGTTAAAAACAGAGGGAGAAAGAGGGGGGGGGGGTTATGGGGAGGATAGGGAGAGAGAGAGAAAGAGAGAGAGAGAGAGAGAGAGAGAGAAAGTGAAAGGAGAGAGAGAAACATATAGAGAGAGAAGTAGAGAGAGAAACAGAGAGAGAGGGAGAGAGAGAGAGAGAGAGCGCGAGAGAGAGAGAGAGAGAGAGAGAGAGAGGAGAGAGAGAGAGAAGAACCTAAAGATAGATCCAGAACCTACTCTAGCCATAGTATATATCTGTCTATATATATCTCGATTCCTCCCCACATATGTCAGCTATAGCTAGATCTATCTTCTCTATCTACTCTCTCTCTAGTATATAGCGAGATAGGAGAGATCTATCTATATCCTATCTCATATCGAGATATCACTCACTATCTGGAACTGAAACGAAACCATGGCTTGGTCCATAGCTCTTGGGAGAGGGAGAGAAAAATAAACTACAATCTGAAGTCAAAAGTTTAATGTTTCAAATTAAACCAAATTGTATTTGCCACATGTGATGAATGCAACAGGTTACAATGAAATGCTTATTTACAAGCCCTTCACCAACAATGCAGTTTCTAAGAAAAAAAAAGCAAATAATGTCCCCAAACAATGAGGGCCCTGACAAGGAGGGCCTACAGCAGCACCTAGATCTTCTGCACAGATTCTGTCAGACCTGGGCCCTGACAGTAAATCTCAGGAACACAAAAATAATGGTGTTCTAAAAAAGGTCCAATTGCCAGGACCACAAACCCAAATTCCATCTAGACACGGTTGCCCTAGAGCACACAAAGAACTATACATACCTCGGCCTAAACATCAGCGTCACAGGTGACTTCCACAAAGCTGTGAACGATCTGAGAGACAAGGCAAGAAGGGCCTTCTATGCCATCAAAAGGAACATACAATTCGACATACCAATTAGGATCTGGCTAAAAATATTTGAATCACTTATAGGACCCATTGCCCTTTATGGTTGTGAGGTCTGGGGTCCACTCACCAACCAAGAATTCACAAAATGGGTCAAACACCAAATTGAGACTCTGCATGCAAAATTCTGCAAAGACATGCAGAGCAGAATTAGTTTCATATCCGCTAATTATCAAAATCCACAAAAGAGCTGTTAAATTCTACAACCACCTAAAAGGAAGCGATTCCCAAACCTTCCATAACAAAGCCATCACCTACAGAGAGATGAACCTGGAGAAGAGTCCCCTCAGCAAGCTGGTCCTGGGGCTCTGTTAACAAACACAAATAGACCCCACAGAGCCCCAGGACAGCAACACAATTAGACCAAACCAAATCATGAGAAAACAAAAATATAATTACTTGACACATTGGAAGGAATCAACAAAAAAACTGAACTAGAATGCTATTTGGCACTAAACAAAGAGTACACAGTGGCAGAATACCTGACCACTGTGACTGACCCAAACTTAAGGAAAGCTTTGACTATGTACAGACTCAGTGAGCATAGCCTTGCTATTGAGAGAGGCCAACATAGGCAGATCTGGCTCTCAAGTGAAGACAGGCTATGTGCACACTGCCCACAAAATTAGGTGTAAACTGAGCTGCACTTCCTAACCTCCTGACAAATGTATGGCCATATTAGAGACGCATAAACTCAGCAAAAAAAGAAACATCCCTTTTTCAGGACCCTGTCTTTCAAAGATCCAAATAACTTCACAGATCTTCATTGTAAAGGTTTTAAACACTGTTTCCAATACATGTGGAATGGTCGTTAAGAGACTAACAGCTTACAGACGGTAGGCAATTAAGGTCACAGTTATGAAAACGTAGGACACTAAAGAGGCCTTTCTACTGACTCTGAAAAACACCAAAAGAAAGATGCCCAGGGTCCCTGCTCATCTGTGTGAACGTGCCTTAGGCATGCTGCTAGGAGGCATAAGGACTGCAGATGTGGCCAGGGCAATAAATTGCAATGTCCGTACTGTGAGACGCCTAAGACAGTGCTACAGGGAGACAGGACGGACAGCTGATTGTCCTCGCAGTGCCAGACCACGTGTAACAACACCTGCACAGGATCGGTACATCCGAACATCACACCTGCGGCACAGGTACAGGATGGCAACAACAACTGCCCGAGTTACACCAGGAACGCACAATCCCTCCATCAGTGCTCAGACTGTCCGTAATAGGCTGAGAGAGGCTGGACTGAGGGCTTGTAGGCCTGTTGTAAGGCAGGTACTCATCAGATATCACCGGCAACAACGTCACCTATGGGCACAAACCCACAGTCGCTGGACCAGACAGGACTGGCAAAAAGTGCTCTTCACTGACGAGACGCGGTTCTGTCTCACCAGGGGTGATGGTCAGATTTGCGTTTATCGTCGAAGGAATGAGCGTTACACCGAGGCCTGTACTCTGGAGCGGGATCGATTTGGAGGTGAAGGGTCCGTCATGGTCTGGGGCGGTGTGTCAAAACATTATCGGACTGAGCTTGTTGTCATTGCAGGCAATCTCAACTCTGTGTGTTACAGGGAAGATATCCTCCTCCCTCATGTGGTCCCCTTCCTGCAGGCTCATCCTGACATGACCCTCCAGCATGACAATGCCACCAGATTCCAAACTCACCACCATGGCCAAGACCAAAGAGCTCTCCAAAGATGTCAGGGACAAGATGGTAGACCTACACAAGGCTGGAATGGGCTACAAGACCATTGGCAAGCAGCTTGGTGAGAAGGTGACAACAGTTTGTGTGATTATTCGCAAATGGAAGAAACACAAAAGAACTGTCAATCTCCCTCGGCCTGGGGCTCCATGCAAGATCTCACCTCGTGGAGTTGCAATGATCATGAGAACAGTGAGGAATCAGCCCAAAACTACATGGGAGGATCTTGTCAATGATTTCAAGGCAGCTGGGACCATAGTCACCAAGAAAACAATTGGTAACACACTACGCCGTGAAAGACTGAAATCCTGCAGCACCCGCAAGGTCCCCCTGCTCAAGAAAGCACATATACAGGCCCGTCTGAAGTTTGCCAATGAACATCTGAATGATTCAGAGGAGAACTGGGTGAAAGTGTTGTGGTCAGATGAGACCAAAATCGAGCTCTTTGGCATCAACTCAACTCGCCGTGTTTGGAGGAGGAATGCTGCCTATGACCCCAAGAACACCATCCCCACCGTCAAACATGGAGGTGGAAACATTGTGCTTTGGGGGTGTTTTTCTGCTAAGGGTACAGGACAACTTCACCGCATCAAAGGGACGATGGACGGGGCCATGTACTGTCAAATCTTGGGTGAGAACCTCCTTCCCTCAGCCAGGGCATTGAAAATTGATCTCTCACTGTTCAAATAAACCTACCATTAAAATTATAGACTGATCACGTCTTTGTCAGTGGGCAAAAGTACAAAATCCGCAGGGGATCAAATACTTTTTTCCCTCACTGTATATACATAATATGACATTTTAAATGTCTTTATTCTTTTGGAACTTTTGTGAGTGTAAAGTTTACAGTTCTTTTTTTCATATTTCATGTAGCTTGCTGTAGTATCTCAAACAGATAAGATGGAGAAACCCATGTAGCTCAGTTGGTAAAAATGTAAATGTAAACCAGACGAAGCAGAGAGAGAAAGACATCCATAGGGAGGGAGGTAAAAAGGAATAGACAGAAATAGATGGAGAGAAAGAAACCCTAACCCTCATTCTAACCCTACACTTAACCTTAACCCTAGCCCTAACCCTTACCCTAGCCCTAACCCTTATTCTAACCCTAAACTGAACCCTAGCCCTAGCCCTAACCCTTATTCTAACCCTACACTTAACCCTTACCCTAGCCCTAACCCTTATTCTAACCCTACACTTAACCCTTACCCTAGCCCTTAACCATTTACCCCATGCCCTAACCCCTTATTCTAACCCTTCAAAATGAAACCCTCGCCCTAGCCCTAACCCTTATTCTAACCCTAACCTTAACCTTTACCCTTAGCACCTAACCCTTATTCTAACCCTACACTTAACCCTTACCTAGTCCTAACCCTTCTTCTAACCATAAATGAACCCTATCCCTTAACCCTTATTCTAACCCTACACTTAACCCTTACCCTAGCCCTAACCATTATTCTAACCCTACACTTAACCCTTACCCTAGCCCTAACCCTTACCCTAGCCCTAACCCTTATTCTAACCCTAAACTGAACCCATTAGCCCCTAGCTCTAACCCTTATTCTAACCCTAACCTATACACTTAACCCTTACCCTAGCCCTAACCCTTATTCTAACCCTTACCACTTAAACCCTTACCCTAGCCCTAACCCTTATTCTAACCCTAACATTTTAACCCTTACCTAGCCCAACCCCTTATTTAACCCTACACTTAACCCTTACCCAAACCCCAAACCCTTTTCAAACCCCTAAACGAACCCTAGCCCTACCCCCAAACCCTTATTCTAACCCTAAAATTCCCCCTTTACCTAGCCCAAACCCTTCCCCTACCCCTAACCTTTTTCAACCAAACTAAACCCCAGCCTCCCCAAACCCCTTATTCTCCCCACACAAACCCCTTACCCAGCCAGCCCAACCTTATTCAAAACCACAAAACCCCTTTCCCCAGCCAAACCTTTTTTTAACGCAAAAACTAAACCCCTAGCCTGCCCAAACCCCTTTACTAATCCTAAATTTAACCCCTTCCCTCCCCAAACCCTTTTTTAACCCCCACACAACCCCTTTTCCCCTAGCCCAACCCTATTCTAACCCAAATGAACCTAGTAGCCAACCCTTTTTTAATCCAAACGAACCCTTCCCCAGCCAAAACCCTTATTCAACCTACATTAAACCTTACCCTAGCCCTAACCCTTATTCTAACCCTAAACTGAACCCTAGCCCTATCCCTAACCCGTATTCTAATCCTAGAGTAACACACTACGCCGTGAAAGACTGAAATCCTGCAGCACCCGCAAGGTCCCCCTGCTCAAGAAAGCACATATACAGGCCCGTCTGAAGTTTGCCAATGAACATCTGAATGATTCAGAGGAGAACTGGGTGAAAGTGTTGTGGTCAGATGAGACCAAAATCGAGCTCTTTGGCATCAACTCAACTCGCCGTGTTTGGAGGAGGAATGCTGCCTATGACCCCAAGAACACCATCCCCCACCGTCAAACATGGAGGTGGAAACATTGTGCTTTGGGGGTGTTTTTCTGCTAAGGGTACAGGACAACTTCACCGCATCAAAGGGACGATGGACGGGGCCATGTACTGTCAAATCTTGGGTGAGAACCTCCTTCCCTCAGCCAGGGCATTGAAATTGATCTCTCACTGTTCAAATAAACCTACCATTAAAATTATAGACTGATCACGTCTTTGTCAGTGGGCAAAAGTACAAAATCCGCAGGGGATCAAATACTTTTTTCCCTCACTGTATATACATAATATGACATTTTAAATGTCTTTATTCTTTTGGAACTTTTGTGAGTGTAAAGTTTACAGTTCTTTTTTTCATATTTCATGTAGCTGCTGTAGTATCTCAAACAGATAAGATGGAGAAACCCATGTAGCTCAGTTGGTAAAAATGTAAATGTAAACCAGACGAATCAGAGAGAGAAAGACATCCATAGGGAGGGAGGTAAAAAGGAATAGACAGAAATAGATGGAGAGAAAGAAACCCTAACCCTCATTCTAACCCTAAATTAACCCAACCCCCACCCAAACCTTCCGCCCTAACCCTTATTTAACCCTAAATGAACCCTAGCCCTAGCCAAACCCCTTTTCTAACCCTACATTTAAACCCCTTTCCCCACCCCTAACCCTTATTCAACCCCTAACTTAACCCTTTCCCCTAGCCCAAAATTTACCCACCCCCAAACCCTTTTCTAACCCTAAACGAACCCTAGCCCAGCCCTAACCCTTTTTCTAACCCACATTAAACCTTTACCTGCCCCCCCTATTCAACCCTTTACATTTAACCCCTTTTACCCCTACCCCTAACCTTTTTTAAACCCCTAAACGAACCCTCCCCCAAACCCCTTATTCAACCCCTACATTTAACCCTCCCCTACCCCAACCCATTTTCAAACCCCTACATTAACCTTCCCCTAGCCCAACCCTTCCCTAGCCCTAAACCCTTATTCTAACCCTAACTGAACCCGCCCTGCTCAAACCCCTTATTCAAACCCCTACACTTAACCCCTTCCCCTACCCCTACCTTATTCAACCCTACATTAACCCCTTACCCCCCCAAACCCCTTTTCTACCTACACTAACCTTACCCCCTACCCCAACCTTTTTCAAACCCACATTCCCCCACCCAAACCCTAACCCTATTCTCCCCAAAACAAAACCCTAGCCCAAACCCTTTTTTAACCCCAAAATTAAACCCTACCCTAGCCCAAACCCTTCCCCTAGCCCAAACCTTATTCTAACCCAAACTAAAAACCCTAGCCCTACCCAACCCTTTTTAACCAAAATTTAACCTTACCTGCCCTACCCCTAACCCTTATTAAAACCCTACACAAAAACCCTTACCCAGCCTAAACCTTTTTTCAAGAAAATGAACCCTAGCCCAGCCCTAACCTTTTTCAAATCCAAAAATTAATTTACCTAGCCAAACCCTATTTAACCCCCCCTTAACCCTTACCCTACCCCAAAACCCTATTCAACCCTTAAATGAACCCTACCCCTACCCCAAACCCCTTTTTAATTAAAAAAACCCTTACCTAGCCCTAACCCTTTTTTAACCCTCATTTAAACCCCTACCCACCCCAACCCCTTCCCCCTACCCCCAAAAACCCCTTTTCTAACCCCAATTTAAAACCCTTACCTACCCCTAACCCTTATTTAACCAAAAACTAAACCCCCTCCCCCTTTCCCCCTAACCCGATTCTAATCCAGGGGGAAAAACACCCTCCCCGGAAAGATGAAATCCTGCAGCACCGAAACCCCCCTCTCAAAAAAGCACAAACGGGCCCCGTTGAAGTTTGAATGAACACTGAATGATTCAGAGGAGACTGGGTGAAAGTGTTGTGGTCAGATAGCCCAAAATCGAGTCTTGGCATCAACTCAATCCCCGTTTTTTGGAGGGGAATGCGCCATGACCCAAAGAAAACCCATCCCCCCGTCAAAATGGAGGGGGAAAATTTGTTTGGGGGGTTTTTTCTGCAAAGGGTACGGGAAAAATTCACCCATAAAGGGGCGTGGAGGGGGCCTTTGTACTGTCAAATTTGGGTGAGAACCTCCTTCCTCACAGGGCATTGAAAATTGATCTCCACGTCAAATAAATCCCCAAAAATTTATAGATGATCATTTTTGTCAGTGGGCAAAAGTACAAACCCGCAGGGGATCAAATATTTTTCCCTCCTGTATAACAAATATGCATTTTAATTTTTTATTTTTTTGGGAAACTTTGTGAGTGTAAAGTTTCAGTTTTTTTTTAAATTTTATGTACTTGCGTAGTATCTCAAACAGAAAGAGGAAAAACCCAGTAGCTCATTTGGTAAAATGTAAATGTAAACCAGAAAAATAGAGGGGAAAAAAGACACCCCATAGGGAGGGAGGAAAAAAGGAAATAAAACCGAAAAAATGGGAGGAGAAAAAAAAACCCAAACCCCTCTTTTCAACCCTAACAAAAACCTAACCCTAGCCCTAACCCACCTACCCCAACCCCCTTATTCAACCCAAACAAACCCCAGCCCTACCCCCTACCCTTTTACAACCCACACAACCCCCCCAGCCCTAACCTTTCAAACCCCTAAACTAACCCTTTACCCACCCCTAACCTTCCCCTAGCCCAAACCCCTTTTTCTAACCTAAACTAAACCCCAGCCAGCCCTAACCCTTATTCAAACCCCTACTTTTAAAACCCCCTAGCCCAACCTTTTAACCCTACACTTCCCCCAACCCTCCCCCAAACCCCTTTTCAAACCCCTAAAAAACCCCTAGCCAAACCCTTTTCAAACCCCTACATTTAAACCCCTTCCCCTACCCCAAACCATTATTTAAACCCCACACTTAACCCTACCCTACCCCAACCCCCCCTACCCCAAACCCTTATTCTAACCCAAAACTGAACCCAGCCCTAGCTCAACCCCTTTTTAACCTACATTTAAACCCTTTTACCCGCCCAAACCCCTTTTTTCTCCCCTACATTTAAACCCCTTACCAGCCCTCCCCTTTATTCTAACCCACACTAACCTTTTCCCTAGCCAAACCCCTTTTATTCTAACCACATTAACCTTCCCCAACCCAAACCCTTATTCAACCCAAAAACGAACCCGCCCTAACCTTATTCAACCCAAAAACTAACCCCTTTCCCCTACCCCAACCCTTCCCCGCCCAAACCCCTTTTTCCCCCCTAAATGAAACCCTACCCCTAGCCCTAACCCTTTTTAACCCAATTTAACCCCTTACCCAGCCCTACCCCTAACCCTTTTTATTTAAACCCTACATTAAACCCCTCCCCTACCCCAAAACCCATTCTAACGCTAAACTGAACCCTAGCCCAGCCCTAACCCTTATCTATCCAAAACTTAACCCTTATAGCCCAACCCTTTTCAAACCCCTACATTAACCCTTACCCTAGCCCTAACCCCTATTCTAACCTAAACTGAACCCTAGCCCTAGCCCTAACCCTTATTCTAATCCTAAACGTAACCCTTACCCTAGCCCTAACCCTTATTCTAACCCTACACTAACCCTTACCCTAGCCCTAACCCTTACCCTAGCCCTAACCCTTATTCTAACCCTACACTTAACCCTTACCCTAGCCCTAACCCTTATTCTAACCCTAAACTGAACCCTAGCCCTATCCCTAACCCGTATTCTAATCCTAGAGTAACACACTACGCCGTGAAAGACTGAAATCCTGCAGCACCCGCAAGGTCCCCCTGCTCAAGAAAGCACATATACAGGCCCGTCTGAAGTTTGCCAATGAACATCTGAATGATTCAGAGGAGAACTGGGTGAAAGTGTTGTGGTCAGATGAGACCAAAATCGAGCTCTTTGGCATCAACTCAACTCGCCGTGTTTGGAGGAGGAATGCTGCCTATGACCCCAAGAACACCATCCCCACCGTCAAACATGGAGGTGGAAACATTGTGCTTTGGGGGTGTTTTTCTGCTAAGGGTACAGGACAACTTCACCGCATCAAAGGGACGATGGACGGGGCCATGTACTGTCAAATCTTGGGTGAGAACCTCCTTCCCTCAGCCAGGGCATTGAAAATTGATCTCTCACTGTTCAAATAAACCTACCATTAAAATTATAGACTGATCACGTCTTTGTCAGTGGGCAAAAGTACAAAATCCGCAGGGGATCAAATACTTTTTTTCCCTCACTGTATATACATAATATGACATTTTAAATGTCTTTATTCTTTTGGAACTTTTGTGAGTGTAAAGTTTACAGTTCTTTTTTTTCATATTTCATGTAGCTTGCTGTAGTATCTCAAACAGTAAGATGGAGAAACCCATGTAGCTCAGTTGGTAAAAATGTAAATGTAAACCAGACGAAGCAGAGAGAGAAAGACATCCATAGGGAGGGAGGTAAAAAGGAATAGACAGAAATAGATGGAGAGAAAGAAACCCTAACCCTCATTCTAACCCTACACTTAACCTTAACCCTAGCCCTAACCCTACCCTGAGCCCTAACCCTTATTCTAACCCTAAACTGAACCCTAGCCCTAGCCCTAAACCCTTATTCTAAACCCTACACTTAACCCTTACCCACCCCAAACCCCTTTTTTTAACCCAATTAACCCTTCCCCTACCCCTAACCCTTCCCCTCCCCTAACCCTTATTCTAACCCAAAAATAAACCCCCTAGCCCTAGCCCAACCCTTATTCAAACCCCTACACTTAAACCCCCCCAGCCCTAACCCTTTTTCAACCAACATTAACCCTTCCCCTAGCCCCCCCCTTTATTCTAACCCAAAACTGAACCCAGCCCAACCCTTTCAACCCTACACTTAACCCTCCCTCCCCTAACCATTATTCTAACCCTCATTCCCCTCCACCCCTAACCCTTCCCCTGCCAAAACCCCTTTATTCAACCTAAATAAAATACCCCTGCTCAAACCCTTATTCTAACCCTACATTAACCCTTCCCCAGCCTAACCCTATTTAACCCTACATTAACCCTTCCCCCGCCCAACCCTTATTCTAACCCACACTTAACCCTTACCCAACCCACCCTTATTCAACCCCTAAACTGAACCCTACCCCTACCCCAACCCTTTTTTAAACCCTAAACTAACCTTCCCCTACCCCAAACCCCTTTACCTGCCCAACCCCTTTTTTCAACCCAAAATGAACCCTACCCCTACCCTAACCCTTTTTTAACCCTAACAACCCTCCCTAGCCTAGCCCTAACCCTTTTTTAACCCCAACTTAACCCTTCCCCTGCCCAAACCTTATTTAACGCTAAAATGAACCCTACCCCTAGCCCTAACCCTTATTAACCAAATTAACCTTCCCCCTAGCCAAACCCCTATTCACCACATTTAACCCTTTCCCGCCCTAACCCCCTATTCAACCCCAAAAAATGAACCCTAGCCTAGCCCAACCTTATTCTAATCCTAAAGAAACCCTTTTACCCTAGCCCAAACCCTTATCAAACCCAAACACAACCCCTTCCCCTGCCCAAAACCCTTTTTCAAACCCCTAAACGAACCCTAGCCCTTCCCTAACCCGTATCAAATTAGGTAACACACTAGCCTGAAAGGGAAACCTGCACACCGCAAGGCCCCCTGCTAAGAAAGACAAACAGGCCTTTTGAAGTTTGCCAATGAACATCTGAATGATTCAGGGAATGGGTGAAAAGTGTTGGGTGATGAGACCAAAATCGGCTTTTTGGATCAATAACCCCGTTTTGGAGGGGGTGCCTATGCCCCCAAGAACACCATCCCCCCCGTCAAAACATGGAGGTGGAAAATGTGCTTTGGGGGGTTTTTTTGCAAAGGGTACAGGACAATTTCACCGCACAAAGGGACGTGGAGGGGCCGTACTTCAAATTTGGGTGAGAACCCCCCTTTCCCCAGCCAGGGCTTTAAAAATTTGATCTCTCATGTTCAAATAAACCTACCATTAAAATTATAGATGATCAGTTTTGTCAGTGGGCAAAAGTACAAAACCCGCAGGGGATCAAATATTTTTTTCCTCATGAATACATAATAGACTTTTTAAAATGTTTTTATTCTTTTGGAACTTTTGTGAGGTAATTTTACAGTTTTTTTTTTATATTCATGTAGTTGCGGAGTATTCAAACAGATAAGAGGAGAAAACCATGAGCTCGTTGGTAAAAAGAAATGAAAAACCGAGAAGCAGAGAGAAAAAAGACCCCCTGGGAGGGGGGTTTTAAAAAGGAAAGAAGAAAAGAGGAGAAAAAAAAAACCCCAAACCACTAAACCCCCATAACTTTAACCCCCTAGCCCAAACCCCTTCCCCCTAGCCCTAACCCCTTATCAACCCAAAACTAAACCCCCAGCCCTAGCCCCAACCCTTTTTTAACCACCTTAACCTTACCCCCCAAAACCCATTCTAACCCACATTAACCCTTACCCTAGCCTAACCCACCCTAGCCCTAACCCTTATTCAACCCTAAACTGAACCCAGCCCTACCCAACCTTATTCAAAACCCCTCACAAAACCCTTCCCCCAGCCCTCCCCCTTATTCTAACCACATTAACCCTCCCTGCCCAACCATTCAACCCTAAACAAAACCCTAGCCCTAACCCTTTTCAAACCCACACTTAACCCTTCCCCAGCCCTAACCCTTTTATTTAACCCCATTTAAAACCCTTCCCAGCCCTACCCTTACCAGCCCAAACCCCTTATTTAACCCTAATAAACCCAAGCCCTCCCAACCCCTTTTTTTAAACCCCACACTTAAACCCCTTACCCAGCCCAAACCCTTTTTTTAAACCCCACACTAACCCTTCCCCAGCCCTAAACTTATTCTAACCCCACATTAACCCTTCCCCAACCCCTAACCCTTATTTTAACCCAAACAACCCTAGCCAGCCCAAACCCTTTTCAACCCTAAATTAAACCCCTTACCTAGCCCACCCCCCCTAGCCCTAAAACCCTATTAACCTAAACTAAACCCAGCCCTAGCCCTCCCCCTTTTTCTAACCCTACACTTCCCCCTCCCCCAGCCCAAACCCTTTTTCTAACGCAAAACTGAACCTAGCCCTCCCCCTCCCCTTATTTAACCTAAATAACCCCTCCCTAGCCCAACCCTTATTAAACCCACAAAACCACCCTACCCCAACCCCATTCTAACCCAAAACGAACCCTAGCCCTAGCCCAAACCCCTTTCTAACCCTAAAGAACCCCACCCTAGCCCAACCCTATTCTAACCCTACACTTAACCCTACCCTAGCCCTAACCCTTATTTAACCCTAAATGACCCCACCCCCTACCCAACCCGTATTTAACCCAAACTTAACCCTTACCCAAACCCCAAACCCCATTCAAACCCCTAAACTAAAACCCTACCCTATTGCATTACCCCCGGTTGAAGGCTCTGGTTTTTTCAAAAATTCAGGTCCACAACCAGCAAGAATTTTTTGTATGTTTAATCGGGAGAGTCTCCCGCCAAAACAAAACCCACCCTTTAATATGTTCACAAAAGGGAACTTTGCCCGCCCCCCCTTTAGGCGGCATTAAACCCAGTTTTCGTCCCCTTATCCTGGAATTTTTTTGTTCAGCTTTTTCTAACTCTCCCCCCCCGTTAGGGGGTGACCAGATTAGGCTTAAAAACCGTTCATACAGTAGTTTGGGGTGAAATTCTTAAGACTTTATTTTTAAAATACAAATTAAGCATAAAAATAACCCACCCACCCCCAACCTTACAACCAAAACAACCCCACCCAGCCGAACCCCAACAACCCCTAAACAAACCTCCCCTACCCCCTAACCCCTTTATTCAAACCCAAATTAAACCCCTTACCCTAGCCAAACACTTTTTCAACCCCCTAAAAACCCTTTTTTTTGCCCTAAACCATATTAACCCCAAACCAACCCTACCTAGCCTAACCCTATATAACCCCCTAAATTCCCCCAAACCGGCCCAACCTTATTCAACCCCTAAACTTAACCCTAGCCCAACCCCATTCAACCCCAACCATAACCGTAGCAAGCAGTTGCTTTAAACAGTGGGTTATTGATAGTTTGACCATTGAAAGGCTTCCGTGGATACCCGATTTTCCCCAAAAAGTGGACCGAAAGGAGACTTTTGGAAAGGAGATTGGAGGTGGAGGAGGGGTGGAGGGGGGGAGGTGGAGAGATGGAGAGGGGGGGGGGGGAGGTGGTGAGGAGGGGGGGGTGGGGATGGAAGACGGAGAGAGGAGAGTGAGGGGGAGAGATGGAGAGAGGGAGAATGAGGAGGAGAGATGGAGGGAGAGATGGAGAGGAAGAGGAGAGATGGGGGAGAGATGAGAGTGAGAGGGAGAGATGGAGAGTGAGTGAGGAGGGAGGGATGAGATGGTAGATGGGAGGAGTGAGAAGGGGAGTGGGATGGAGAGATGGAGAGTGAGATGGAGAGATGGAGAGGAGGGGGAGAGATGGGGAGGAGATGGAGAGTGCGATGGAGAGATGGGAGTGAGAGGGAGAGAGGGAGGAGGAGAGAGGGAGAGTGAGAGGGTGAGATGGAGGGAGAGATGGCGATGAGATGGAGGATGGAGAGTGAGAGGAGGATGGGGAGTGAGAGGGGAGAGAGTGGAGGGAGAGATGGAGAGTGAAGATGGAGAAATGGTGGAGGAGTGAGAAGGGGAGGGGGATGGGAGGGTGGGATGAGAGATGGAGAGTGAGATGGAGAGATGGAGAGTGGGGGGAGGAAGGGAAAGAGAGGGAGAGAGGAGAGTGAGAGGAGAGAAGAGGAGGTGAAGAGGGAGAGATTGGAGGGGAGAGATGGAGAGGGAGCGGGTGATAGATGTAGGGGAGGGGAGAGAGGGAGAGTGAGATGGAGAGATGGAGAGTGAGATGGAGAGATGGAGAGTGAGAGGGAGAGATGGAGGGCGAGGGTGGAGAGCGAGAGGGAGAGATGGAGGGAGAGATGGAGAGTGAGATGAAGAGATGGAGAGTGAGAAGGGGAGTGGGATGGAGAGGATGGAGAGGAGATGGAGAGATGGAGAGTGAGGGGGAGAGATGGAGGGAGAGATGGAGAGTTGAGAGGAGAGATGGAGAGTGAGAGGGAGAGATGGAGGGAGAGATGGAGGTGAGAGGGTGAGATGGTGGGAGAGAGGGAGAGTGAGATGGAGAGATGGAGCGTGAGATGGAGAGATGGACCGAGTGAGGGGAGAGATGGGGGAGAGATGGAGAGTGAGATGGAGAGATGGAGAGTGAGAAGGGGAGTGGGATGGAGAGATGGAGAGTGAGATGGAGAGATGGAGAGTGAGGGGGAGAGATGGAGGGAGAGATGGAGAGTGAGATGGAGAGATGGAGAGTGAGAGGGAGAGATGGAGGGAGAGATGGAGAGTGAGAGGGTGAGATGGAGGGAGAGATGGAGAGTGAGATGGAGAGATGGAGAGTGAGATGGAGAGATGGAGAGTGAGAGGGAGAGATGGAGGTAGAGGTGGAGAGTGAGAGGGAGAGATGAAGGGAGAGATGGAGAGTGAGAGGGTGAGATGGAGGGAGAGATGGAGAGTGAGATGGAGAGATGGAGAGTGAGATGGAGAGATGGAGAGTGAGAGGGAGAGATGGAGGGAGAGGTGGAGAGTGAGAGGGAGAGATGGAGGGAGAGATGGAGAGTGAGATGAAGAGATGGAGAGTGAGAAGGGGAGTGGGATGGAGAGATGGAGAGTGAGATGGAGAGATGGAGAGTGAGGGGGTGAGATGGAGGGAGAGATGGAGAGTGAGAGGGAGAGATGGAGAGTGAGAGGGAGAGATGGAGGGAGAGATGGAGAGCGAGATGGAGAGATGGAGAGTGAGAGGGATAGATGGAGAGTGAGAGGGAGAGATGGAGGGAGAGATGGAGAGTGAGAGGGAGAGATGGAGATTGAGAGGAGAGATGGAGGGAGAGATGGAGAGTGAGATGGAGAGTGAGATGGAGAGATGGAGAGTGAGAGGGGGAGATGGAGGGAGAGATGGAGCGTGAGAGGGAGAGATGGAGGGAGAGATAGAGAGTGAGATGGAGAGTGAGAGGGAGAGCGAAAGAAAGCAATAGACAGATAGACAACAGTCTTGAGTGTTGGATGTGTCTCTTTTTGCAGTCATTATGTGGTCCTCTGTAGAGCAGTTGGTAGAGCATGCTCTTGCAACTCTAGGATAGTGGGTTCGAATCCCACACCCACTCATATGTAAAAAATGTAGGCACGCAAGTCGCTTTGGATAAAAGCATCTGCTTAATGGCTTATATTATATTATAACTTTACCTCAACTCAACCCAGATCAATATTTTCAAATAATTGCCCTCAGTAAAAAAATAATATATTCTCTTTGTCACTCAATATCTCTGCAGTGGGTATGATTCTCTCTTTTACCCTGGAAAACAGTGGAGCCACAACTCAAAGGCCTTTTTAAGAACTCTCCTGAATCAATATCTAATCTCCAAAAAGACGTTTCCTCCTGACTGTCCAGACTCTAGGATCCATCAGAGAGATACAATCCTCTATCAACTAACCAGAGACATAAAATGTAGAGAATCTTTTGCTGCTGGATTGAACATTCAAGCAAAGTAACCTAGACTACTGTCACGATCGTCGTAATAATTAATCGTAGTGAGTGGACCAAGGCGCAGCGTGATATGCGTACATCTTTTTAATGTGTACTTAGCAACACGAGACAACAACAAAAACAACTAAACGAAACGTGAAGTCCTCGGTCATACACACAAACCTACACGGAACAAGATCCCACAAATGACAAGTGCACAACAGGCTGCCTAAGTATGGTTCCCAATCAGAGACAACAAGACACAGCTGCCTCCGATTGGGAACCACCCCGGCCAACACAGAAACACACAATCTAGAAAAGAACACATAGAAAACAAAACATAGACACTACACATATAAACTAACACCCTGGCTCAACATATAAGAGTCCCCAGAGCCAGGGCGTGACAGTACCCCCCACCCCAAAGGCGCGGACTGCGACCGCACCAACTAAACCCAACAGGAGAGGGGCCGGGTGGGCATTCCGCCTCGGAGGCGGATCCGGCTCCGGGTGTGACCACCACCCTCTAACTACCCCCCCGTAGCGCCCCTGGTCTGGTCTGGCCCCGCTGGCTGGAGCTGGACTGGACATCGGTGGAGCGGATTGCTTAGGCTCCTTAGGTACCTGACCAGGCACCGGTGAAACCGGTGAAACAGGCACGGGCTGTGCCGGACTAACGACGCGCACCACTGGCTTGGTGCGGGGAGCAGGAACGGGCTGGACCGGGCTGACGACGCGCACCACTGGCTTGGTGCGGGGAGCAGGAACGGGCCGGACCGGGCTGACGACGCGCACCACTGGCTTGGTGCGGGGAGCAGGAGCAGGCCGGACCGGGCTGACGACGCGCACCACAGGCTTGGTGCGGGGAGCAGGAACAGGCCGGGCCGGGCTGGCGACGCGCACCACAGGCTTGGTGCGGGGAGCAGGAACAGGCCGGGCTGGCGACGCGCACCACAGGCTTGGTGCGAGACGCAGGAACAGGCCGGGCCGGGCTGGCGACACGCACCACTGGCTTGGTGCGGGGAGCAGGAACGGGCCGGACCGGGCTGACGACGCGCACCACTGGCTTGGTGCGGGGAGTAGGAACGGGCCGGACCGGGCTGACGACGCGCACCACTGGCTTGGTGCGGGGAGCAGGAACAGGCCCGGCCGGGCTGGCGACGCGCACCACAGGCTTGGTGCGGGGAGCAGGAACAGGCCGGGCTGGCGACGCGCACCACAGGCTTGGTGCGAGACGCAGGAACAGGCCGGGCCGGGCTGGCAACGCGCACCACAGGCTTGGTGCGAGGGGCAGGAACAGGCCGGGCTGGCGACGCGCACCATAGGCTTGGTGCGGGGAGCAGGAACAGGCCGGGCCGGGCTGGCGACGCGCACCACAGGCTTGGTGCGAGGGGCAGGAACAGGCTGGACCGGGCTGTGGAGACGGACTGGAGGTCTGGAGCGAAGAGCTGACACCACCCGTCCTGGCTGAGTGCCTATTTTTACACACTCTGTGTGAGGCATCAGCACAGGACGTACAGGGCTGTGTACTCGTACTGGCACTACAGCACGTGGCACTGGCGCAGGATATCCGGGACCGAGGAGGGGTACTGGAGGCCACGAGCGTTGAGCCGGCACACTCCGTCCTGGCTGCATGCCCACCTTAGCACGACACGTGCGTGGTGCTAGCACAGGACGTACAGGACTGTGCCGGACCACTTGCGGCACAGTACGCAGCTCCGCATACCTCGGAACCTGCCCAGTCTCACGCTGCCTAGCCTGAGTACGGGGAGTTGGCTCTGCTCTACCTCTAGGCTCCGCCAACCTCCCTTCCAGCCCCCCAAACCCGGTGGCCTCTTCTCCTAATCCACAAACTCGCCCTGTAGCTGCCTCCAGCAGCCCCGTCGTCCATGCCATGTGCCCCCCCCAAAAAAAATTATTGGGGTTGCCTCTTGCGTGCCCGACGTCGGCACGGTTGGCGCCGCTGCTCCTCTCTATGGCGCGCCTCCACCGTCTCCTCCCACGGATGGCGATCCATTCCGGCCTGGATTTCCTCCCAAGTCCAGGATCCCTGCCCGTCCAAGATCTCCTCCCAAGTCCAGGCTGTCTGCTCCTGGACACGCTGCTTGATCCTGTTATGGTGGGATCTTCTGTCACGATCGTCGTAATGAGTGGACCAAGGTGCAGCGTGATATGCGTACATCTTTTTAATGTGTACTTAGGAACACGATACAACAACAAAAACAACAAAACGAAACGTGAAGTCCTCGGTCATACACACAAACCTACACGGAACAAGATCCCACAAATGACAAGTGCACAACAGGCTGCCTAAGTATGGTTCCCAATCAGAGACAACAAGACACAGCTGCCTCCGATTGGGAACCATCCCGGCCAACACAGAAACACATGATCTAGAAAAGAAAACATAGAAAACAAAACATAGACACTACACATATAAACTAACACCCTGGCTCAACATATAAGAGTCCCCAGAGCCAGGGCGTGACAACTACACCTTGAAAGTCTCATAAACTCATATCTAAACCCTGAGATTGTGGGTAAAGGTAACTACAGTTGACCAGTTGAGTCAAAAATCTAATACTCAGACTACAGACAAAACCACAGAGATCAGGTAGGCCTTCTATACAGGGATATTACTAAGAGATCAGGTAGGCCTTCTATACAGGGATATTACCAAGAGATCAGGTAGGCCTTCTATACAGGGATATTACCAAGAGATCAGGTAGGCCTTCTATACAGGGATATTACCAAGAGATCAGGTAGGCCTTCTATACAGGGATATATTACCAAGATATTAGGTAGGCCTTCTATACAGGGATATTACCAAGAGATCAGGTAGGCCTTCTATACAGGGATATTACCAAGAGATCAGGTAGGCCTTCTATACAGGGATATTACCAAGAGATCAGGTAGGCCTTCTATACAGGGATATTACTAAGATATCAGGTAGGTCTTCTATACAGGGATATGGCTGTTAGGACTGGAACAGTCCTCCATAGAGCAGTGTAACACAGGCAGACTTTAATGGTAGAGAGGTTTAGACAAAACAAGACACAGGTATTGCGATGCAGAACAACAGACATTTGTTGGGTAAACAGAGAAAGTGGCAGCCTACTGGGCAGCATATCCCTCACGCTGGTGCACGAGCGCTTTGTCACCCCGTGCACACACTGACACCACAGGAAACAGGAAGCTGTGGCGGGGGTCCTTACTTCAGCCGGACCTTGAGGTGTCATAACCCCCTGTCCAATCTGATAACCATCTGACAACAGAAGCCCTGCGGAGTGGAGGGACAGCGGACGGGGTATGTGTGTGGTGTGTGTGTGTGTGTGTGTGTGTGTGTGTGTGGTGTGTGTGTGTGTGTGTGTGTGTGGTGTGTGTGTGTGTGTGTGTGTGTGTGTGGTGTGTGTGTGTGTGTGTGTGTGTGTGTGTGTGTGTGTGTGTGTGTGCGCGCGCGCGCACGAAAATAGAAGCTAGAAGTTAGAGAAAACTCCCTGAGGCATAATTTGAAATAGTTATAATGCATTATTAACCTTCATAATTAAAAAAAAGACCTGTATTAGTAGAAATATGACTAAAGATTATATTATGTTAATAAAGTGACTCATACAGACCTCCCTGCATGGCTCAGTCCTTTGTGTTAGAATTTAATTAGACCAATATCCCTTACACACTGATTAGAGGTGAACAGTTAGCTTTCATATCTGATTGACTTCCCTCTCTTTCTTCATCTCTTTCTCTCTCTTCCTCTCTCTCTCCCCTCAATCTCTTTTCCTCTCTCTCTCCCCTCCCCCTCTCTCTCTCTCTCTCTCTCTCTCTCTCTCTCTCTCTCTCTCTCTCTCTCTCTCTCTCTCTATATCTCTCTCTCTCTCTCTCTCTCTCTCTCTCTCTCTCTCTCTCCTCTCTCTCACAAAGTTTCCCTCTAAAGTCAAAATGAGATTGAACTGAAACTGGGGATGAATAGAGGAACGGAGATGGATAAAGATCTTATCTCCAAGCTTTTATTCAATATGGTAAAAGCGGCTGGAATAATTTGTCAAATGCATTAATTAGTTTTTCAGCCATGCTTTTGATCAATCCATACGAAATCTCCTAGAATGTAGACTCCCGCAGGACTTCCATTCATGAGTAATGACATACCTCACTATCTCTATTTGTTGTAATAACACACATCACTATCTCTCTCTGAGTAATAACATACATCACTATCTCTCTCTGAGTAATAACATACATAAAAAATCTAATCAAATCAAACTTTATTTGTCACATGTGCCGAATACAACAGGTGTAGACCTTACCGTGAAATGCTTACTTACAAGCCCTTCACCAACAATGCAGTTCAAGAAAGAGTTAAGGGTCAATGTAAATAGTCTGGGTGGCCATTTTATTAATTGTTCAGCAGTCTTATGGCTTGGGGGTAGAAGCTGCTGAGGAGCCTTTTGGTCCTAGACTTGGCGCTCCGGTACCGCTTGCCGTGCGGTAGCAGAGAGAACAGTCTATGACTTGTGTGACTATAGTCTTTGACAATGTTTTGGGCTTTCCTCAGACACCGCCTAGTATATAGGTCCTGGATGGCAGGAAGCTTGGCCCCAGTGATATACTGGGCCGCAGCTGTATCACTTTTTGAGGATCTGGGGACCCATGCCAAATCTTTTCAGTCTCCTGAGGGGGAAAAGGTGTTGTTGTGTCCTCTTCACGACTGTCTTGGTGTGTTTGGACCATAATAGTTCGTTGGCCATGTGGACGCCAAGGAATTTGAAACTCTCTACCCACTCCACTACAGCCCTGTCGATGTTAATGGGGGCCTGTTCGGCACGCCTTTTCCTGTAGTCCACGATCAGCTCCTTTGTCTTGCTCACATTGAGGGAGAGGTTGTTGTCCTGGCACCACACTGCCAGGTCTCTGATCTCCTCCCTATAGGCTGTCTCATCGTTGTCTGTGATCAGGCCTACCACTGTTGTGTCGTCAGCAAACTTAATGATGGTGTTGGAGTCGTGTTTGGCCATGCAGTCGTAGGTGACAGGGAGTACAGGAGGGGACTAAGTACGCACCCCTGAGGGGCCCCCGTGTTGAGGGTCAGTGTGCCAGACGTGTTGTTGCCTACCCTTACCACCTGGGGGCGGCCCATCAGGAAGTCCAGGATCCAGTTGCAGAGGGAGGTGTTTAGTCCCAGGGTCCTTAGCTTAGTGATGAGCTTTGTGGGCACTGTGGTGTTGAACGCTGCTGTAGTCAATGAACAGCATTCTCACATAGGTGTTCCTTTTGTCCAGGTGGGAAAGGGCAGTGTGGAGTGCGATTGAGATTGCATCATCTGTGGATCTGCTGGGGTGGTATGCAAATTGAGTGGGTCTAGGGTATCCAGGATGATGCTGTTGATGTGAGCCATGACCAGCCTTTCAAAGCACTTCATCGCTACCGACGTGAGTGCTACGGGGCGGTAATCATTTAGGCAGGTTACCTTCGCTTCCTTGGGCACAGGGACAATGGTGGTCTGCTTGAAACTTGTAGGTATTGCAGACTCGGTCAGGGAGAGTTTGAAAATGTCAGTGAAGACACTTGTCCATGCATGCTTTGAGTACACGTCCTGGTAATCTGTCTGGCCCCGCGGCTTTGTGAATGTTGACCTGTTTAATGGTCTTGCTCACATCGGCTACCGAGAGCGTTATCACACAGTCGTCCGGAACAGCTGGTGCTCTCATGCATGCTTCAGTGTTCCTTGCCTCGAAGCGAACATAAAAGGCATTTAGCTCGTCTGGTAGGCTCGCGTCACTGGGCAGCTCGCGGCTGGGTTTCCCTTTGTAGTCCGTAATAGTTTTCAAGCCCTGCCACATCCGACGAGCATCAGAGCCGGTGTAGTAGGATTCAATCTTAATCCTGTATTGATGCTTTGCCTGTTTGATGGTTCGTCTGAGGGCGTAGAGGGATTTCTTATAAGCGTCCGGGTAGTGTCCCGCTCTTTGAAAGCGGCAGCTCTAGCCTTTAGCTTGATGCGGACGTTGCCTGTAATCCATGGCTTCTGGTTGGGATATGTACGGTCACTGTGGGGACGACGTCGTCGATGCACTTATTGATGAAGCCGGTGACCGAGGTGGTATACACCTCAATGCCATTGGATGAATCCCGGAACATATTCCAGTGTGTGCTAGCAAAACAGTCCTTTAACGTAGCATCCGCGTCATCTGACCACTTCCGTATTGAGAGAGTCATTGGTACTTCCTGCTTTAGTTTTTGCTTGTTATTACTGAGTAATAACATACATCACTATCTCTCTCTGAGTAATAACATACATCACTATTTCTATTTGTTGTAATAACATACATCACTATCTCTCTCTGAGTAATAACATTCATCTCTATCTCTATTTGTTGTAATAACATACATCACTATCTCTCTCTGAGTAATAACATACATCACTATCTCTTCTGAGTATTCATTATGAAGTAAGGGTTCATATTCATCCGACATCATTTCTCAGTGTTGGTCATCATTATGGAGTAAGGGTTCACGTTAAAACCATTTCACTGATCTATTGTATTGATAGTGCAATACGAGCTCATATTTAAAGAAGCCCAGGGATCCTGTGTTTTCAGAGGTGTCATATCCAGGTGACCTTGTGAAGAGGCAGTTCCACAGACCTTTATCCCATATAGTAGATTAATACATCCCATAATAGATATTGTCATGGCCACGCAGCTGTAGTTAGATTAATACATCCCATAATAGATATTGTTATGGCCACGCAGCTGTAATTCCAACCTTTTTGCTGGTGTTTGCAATAAGTGTTTTCCATCACAAGTGCAGGTCTCTGGTGGGTTGACCCTAAGAATAGCACCAAAGGGTTAGGATGGCCTGATTTACAGAACGTGTCTGTAATGGAGTGAGAGAAAAGGAAGGAGAAATGGAGTGAAGCAGGGGTCGATACATATGTGTTTCCATTCAGATGCTTTGGGTTTAAAGTGTGATGCTGTGTTTTATTTAAGCCCAGTAATGGATCTGTACTGAACATGCTCTGGCTGGGATTGTGCGATGGGGAGAGAGACTGTGACAGGTTATACAGACTTGACACAGAAAATAACTATAGCAGTTTGATATAGGTTGAGTCGAGAGATGAGAGAAGATAGAGAAGAGAAGAGATAGGGAGAGAGAGAGAGAGAGAGAGGAGATAGAAGAGAGTAGAGAGGATAGAAGAGGAGAGAGGAGAGACAGAGAGAGAGAGATAGAGAGGAGAGAGAGAACATATAGATCGCAGAGATAGAGATGAGAGAGAGAGAGAGATGAGCACCCGGTTCATTTTTTAAAACCCCAAAAAAAAAAATTTTTTCCCCCCCTTCTCGGGGTCCCCCCCCCCTCCCCCCCTTTCCCTTTTTCCCTTTTCCTTCCCCCTTGTTTCCTCGGCCTTGAGGGGGCAGAGAGATAAGGGGAAGAAAAGAAAAAAAGGGGGAAAACAAAAACCAATTTTAAAAAACCCTGGTCATTCAACTTTTTTGCGGGGTTCCTTAGGCAAGTCGGTTCACAAAAAAAAATTGACAGAAACCACATTCATCTTTAAACAGCGCCCAAAAATACAGCCCTTTCCCCAAAACCCCCCCAAACCCCCTTAAAAAGGGAAACACTAGGATTTTTTTAAATGCCAGCAGTTAACTTTCCCTAAATTGTTTTTTCCCCTTTTAAAAACCCCCCTTTTGAAAAATTAAAGAAACCGGCCAAAGGTCCACTAAGTTTTAAAAAAAACCCATTTCATAGTAAGAAACACTGCACTACCTAAATTAATGAAACCCCCAACCCCGGGGAAAGGGGTTTAAAAGTCCCCAAAACCCTTTTTTTGGAACCCCCCACAAAAATTAAAAAATACAAAACAATCCCCAAACCCACCCGGGATTTTTGTTTTTTTTCCCCCAACCCCAAAGGTCTTTTTTTTTTAATATCCCCAAAACACCACCCACTTTTTTCCCCAACCCCCGAAAAATTTTTTTAAAACCCCCAAACACGGGCCAAAACAGGGAATCCCCAAAAAACACAGCCCCCCCCCCAAAACCCCAACATCCCAATTTCCCCAAACCACCCTACATCCCTAATCCCCAACGGGCCTACATTTTTAACCCCAAAACCAAATTTTAACAGGGTAAACCCCAAACCACCCCCCCCTACATGCTAAACCCCCCAACACCGCCTACATTTTAATTTCCCCACCCCCCGCCAAACATGCAAATCCCCCACCCCAAGCCTACTGTTAATCCCCACACCACCCTACATTTTAAATTTTCCCCCCCACCACCTACAGGGTTAATCCCCACCCCCCACCCCTCCCTGTTGACCCCCACACCGCCCCCTTTTAAATCCCCCCCCCGCCACTTTTTGACCCCCACACCAGCCTAAAAATTTTTAACCCCCACCCAGCCTATATTTTAATCCAAAACACCGGGCCTAATTTTTAACCCCAACACCACCTCATGTTGTCCCCAAAACCCAGCCATTTTTTCCCCGTTTTTCCACACCCAGGCCCCCTGTGAATAAAAATCCCAACCCAGCCTAAAATCCCTAATCCCAAACCCCCACCTTACATTCAAATTTAAAATGGAAATTTTTTGTTTTTTTATTCCCCCTGTTTTCCCCACCTTTTGGGATCCCCCCCCAAAAACCCCTTCCCTTTTCCTTTTCATTTTCCCCCGCCTACTACGATTAAAGAAATGATTGGGAAACACAATTTTCAAAATTTAAAAACTTTTAAAAAAACCAAATTTTAAACAGGGGTCCATTTTTGGGCAAATTTTTTTCCCTTCCCTTTTAAAAACCAAAACCAAACCGAGCAACCCCGCCCCTTTTCCCCCCCCCCGGGGCCCTCAAAAAAAAAGGTTTCCCATTTCCCACCCCCCCTTTTTTCCCCCTTGGTAAAAAGGCCAAAACCAAACCCCCGGTTCCGGTAAACCCGGGTTAAATTTTCCCCCATTCCCCCTTTGCAGACCCCCCCCTTTTCTTTAAAAACGAAAACCGGGGGGCCCTCTCCCTTTTTTCCCCCCTGCCGTTAAAAACCCCGGCCCTTAAAAGGCCCCCCCCCCGTTCTTTGGGCCCCTTGCGTTTTGGGGGCCCCCTTTTTTTCCTTTGCTTCGCCCGTCAGGGTCACCACGCAGGAAAACCCAAATGCCGTATTTGACCCCTGGCCGGTTTCCCACAGCTCTGTGGGCAGGATTTTTTTGGCGGGGTCCGAGTGTGTCCCCCCCCTTTCCCCCCCCTTTTTTTCCGGTTTAACTCCCCCCCGGTTTTCATTTTTTCCCATTTCCCCCTTTCTTTTCCCCCCTTTCCCTTTTTTCTTTCCGGGGTTTTTTTCCTTTTTTTTTTGCCAACCCTTGAGGGGGGAGGGGTTCCCTGTGTTTGAAGGGGGGCCCCCTTGTGAATAGAGGGGGTTTTTTTTCCCCCCCATTTGTTATAGAGAGGGTTTTCCCAATTTGTGATTTATGAGAAGGGTTTTGGGGGCCCCCATTTTAAGGAGAGAGGGTTTGCAATTGGGGAAAAAGAATTTTGGGTAATTTTTTAGGGGGTTTCCCAACTTTTAATTTTTTAAGAGGGGGGGCCGCACCGGGTGATATGGGGGGGGTTGAAACCCCTTTTTGATTATTAGAGAGGGTTTCCCCACTGGATTTTAGGAGGGGGTTTTGATATAATTTTTAAGAGGGGGTTGCAACGGGGTTTACAGAGAGTGGGGTTTTTTAGGGGGGTTTTGCCCTGGGGATTAAAAAAAAGGGTTTTGGAAATTTGGAATTAGAGGGGGGGTTTTGTCACTTTAAACGGGGGTTTTGCCCCGTAGGGGGATTGGTATTTTTTTTTCTTTTTTTTCCCTTTTGAGGGGGTTTGCACTGTGTTAATTAGCCCTGTTTTTGGCGCCCCCCCCCCTTCCCTTTTCTAATATTCCTTTGGGTTTTGCCCCTCCGCTTCTCACACCCCTTTTTTCCCCTTTCCTTCCCTTTAAAAACCCCCTATTTTCCCGCCTCTCTCCGGCTGGTTTTAGGAGCTTTTTTTTTGGGGCCCATTTTTCCGGCCCAAGGGTTTTTTTCCCAAATTTTTCCCCCAGGGCTACGAGGTAAAAGGCCTTTTTCCGTTTCTTTTTTGATTGGCCAAGGTTCCCCCATTTCCCCCCCCTGGGCGGCATATAAAGGGACCCGGGGAATATGGCACCCCCAGCCCTCTTGTTTTTTAGGGGGGTTGGGGTTTCAAAGACCCCATTTCAGTGAATGTATTCAGTTGATACAACTTTACTAGGTATCACCTTTCCTTTTCTCGCTCATCCTGCCCGTTTTCATCCTCCATCTTCATTAAGCCCCTCTATCGCTTACTCTTGGCGTTTTATTGTGGGGTGATGTTGGCTCGACATTGCAGTGTAGTGGTAATCACTCTGTGCCCAGTGCTGGGCCTGATGGAGGGATATCGGAGGGCATTAGAGATGCAGACAGACAGCCTGTTAGACAACCTCGCTTGGTGCTGCATAGGTTACTGTCACGGTAAGCCACATTACCTGCTATTGATCCATCACTCCTGCCACACACAACTATTGGGCGTTACACATACATATATCAACACACACACACACACACACACACACACATATACACACACATACACACGCACACACGCACACACACACACACACACATGCGCGCACACACACACACACGCACACACACGCGCGCGCACACACACACACACACACACGCACATGCGCGCACACACACACACCACACACACACAAACACACACAAGGGTGTATACATACATACACACACGCACACACACAAACACACACACACACACACACACACACACACACACACACACACACAAACACACATACACAGGGGTACACATAGAAGAACACCGAAGCAAGTATACCAGGCAGGTCACCCATGATACAAGTCAGTATTCGACATACATCCATGTCTGAGGGTGTCAGGAGATTATGTGGAAACCACTAGGGGCAACAGTGAGCGATGATACCTTCAAGTAGATTTCGGTTTTGCTAGGGTGTTGTAAATGTGCGTAACCTGATTCCAAAGGTTGCATGTTTGAATCCAACGATAAAAAGTTGTATTTTATATTTTTGTTTTAAGCCTATCCCAAACCTTAACCCTTACCTCAACTATTCAGAGTTAGGTAAGGAGGGGCAACAACATGGTACTAGGTAAGAGGTAAGGAGTGGAGTAGAGGTAGGTAAGCAGCCTGATCATTAGAAATATAATTCGATTTAGGACTTTTAAAAGGGTCCTGAGAATATCGATATATATATGCCTGCCTCTGCAAAATAAATAATAATAATAATAATAATAATAATAATAATAATATATATATATATATATATATATATATATATATACAGTATATATAAAATATTGCTCAGACCACTGCGCTACGGCAGTTCACAATGATCTAGCAAGCCATGAGAATACTACGAATACTGATGATGCCTGATGGGAATAGCACATTATTTTTTATTATTTTGTTTTAAGCCTTCCCCAAAACATAGCCCGAACCCGAACCACTCAGAATGTACGTATGTAAGTTGTTATCCTTTTAATTGTTTCTGTTTTAACCCTGTACCCCACATGGAATTATCCCTGTACCCCACATGGAATTAACCCTGTACCCCACATGGAATTAACCCTGTACCCCACATGGCATTAACCCTGTACCCCACATGGAATTAACCCTGTACCCCACATGGAATGAAGACTGTACCCCACATGGAATTAAGCCAGTAACCACACAGAATTAATGCGTCAAAAATAGACCTTCATCCATAATACATTCATCCTTCATTTCGAAGGGAAATTATGAGATCTTGTTGAGGTAAGACGACTCACCTGAGCGTCCGTCCCTCTGTATGTCCACGTGGTACCAGGCTCCGTCGTTGACCTTGTTCTGGGTGGCTTTGACCTTGATGGTCCCTGAGCCCATGTCCAACAGCAGGTACAGACTGCCATCTAGCAGCTCCACCGCAAAGAAGTCCACCTTGGGAAGATGGTCAAGGTGTTTATTCATCATTGGGGTACAACAGCCCCTGAGATATCTTTACAAAATAGGATCCATAAGCCCAATACTCCACAAATAAATCCTTGAACACAAATGTTTTTGTTTCTTCTCACCAGGGCTTGGGTCAATTAAATTTCAATTCCAGTCAATTCAGAAAGTAATCAGCATTCCAACTCTAATTCCACATTTTCCTAATTGAAAATCATTGAAGAGAATTGGAATTGGAAGTACAATAACTTTCTGAATTGTCTGGAATTGAAATGGAATTGACCCCAACCCCACTAGTGACGGATTTGACAAGTTTAGACACAGCTTTACACACAGGCTGAGGTGAATAATAATAATAATATGCCATTTAGCAGACGCTTTTATCCAAAGCGACTTACAGTCGTGCGTGCATACATTTTTTTTTGTGTATGGGTGGTCCCGGGGATCGAACCCACTACCTTGGCGTTACAAGCGCCGTGCTCTACCAGCTGAGCTACAGAGGACCACATGTATGTATTGTTTGGATACATGTATGGATGGATACATGTATGTATTGTTTGATTTATTAATCGTTCATTGTCTTACCTTGGTGTTCTTCTGGCTGCGTTGGGCCTCCTTGCGCTCCTGGAGCTTGCCGTGGGTGAAGAGGATGAGTCCGTTGGGTTCCGAGGTCCTGAAGTCAAAGGACATGGAGCCCATCCTCTTGGTGTTCCACTTGGGTAGGCTGATGTAGGCCTCGGGGGTCTCGAAGGAGATAGGGTCCAGGGTGGCCACGTTCTCACACTTAAACACCACGTCCCCCTGGATCTTCATCTTGGGGTCCACGATGCGCGCCAGACGGGAGAGCTCCAGACGGATGTCGTTGTTCTTGTAGACCACCTGGAGGGAGAGATTGGTGGTGGGGGGGGGGGGGAAAGATAATATTATGGTCATTTGTTCAGGTGATGGTCAAGTTAGACTGAATTCAGGATAACGAGGATGATTTTTGTTCATGATGTCTATTTCACAGAAGTTAACAAACAACTTTGCATTTGTTGCATGTCAACCCTCCCGTTGTCCTAGGGTCAAAATGACCCGCCACTGTGTTGAACCAACTTTATTTAATTTTTTACTTTCTTTAAAGTCTCACTGCCTCCTTCTCACAAATGATCTCAAAAATATAAAAATTAAATAAAGTTGGTTCAACACAGTGGCGGGTCATTTTGACCCTAGGACAACGGGAGGGTTGAACATCTTAGCCCGTGTGAAGAGGTTCTATCTTCTTGACACGGTTGGTGTTATAGCAAGGGCTAGATTCAATCCGGACCGCGGAAGATCCGCGTTATAGCGCGATTGACACTTAAAGGTAATTTCCGAATGAGCCGACATATGCAGCGTTTACTTTGAATGCGATCTCAGTGACCATATAATTGCCTTTAAATGGTGCATAGACAAAAAGGGACGATCGGATTGAATCTAGGCCTACTATCCCTATCAGAACAATTATCTAAACAAATACAGAATAAAACACTCAAAGATAATGTTTGTTAATTCCAGATTTTTGTTGTCTCTCCATAAAGCGGCAGGTAATCAGTCAGTCGGCTGTATTAATATATGTCTATTAAATAACTATAGGCCAGGGCGCACAGACACACAATGGCTGTCTCTGGCTGAGGTAATTGACTCTCAGTGGGCTGACATTCGGATCTGGGTCTGCACTCACTGATAGCGATGCTAATGGCTCCACAAAATGATGGGAGACACACAAACAGTAGCGAGCAAGCACACACACACACACACGCAGGAGCATGCGCACACACACACACACACACACACACACAGGAACGTGTGCACACACACACACACACACACACACACACACACACACACACACACAGGAGTGTGCTCATACACACACAGTTATGGGTTGCACTGTAATTTTAAAGGTTAGGGGACAGAGTAGCTGCCTTTGGCTGCTTTGAGAGCCTGATGTAAGGCTTTGGCCCCAGATCTGTCTGCCACACACATACACACGCATACACATACACACACACACACACACACACGCATACAAACACACACACACACACACACACACAATGAGTCCAGGCACCACACATCCTTAAGAAATGTTGAGCAGTTTCTTCGTAAACTAAAAAATAAACCTATTTGGGCATTAGATCCTTCATCGGAGAGGTACACCCACCAGTGACAACGTTGACAGTTCACTACAGCCAACCTCTCGATTCTGTGAGTGATCAAGTGTCCTTAGCAGAGCAAAACAAAGTTTTGGTCCCATTAAGTGGCTAATCTTTTATCACAGCAGTCTTGATGCTGTCAATAACCCAGAGGACAGACATAGGGGAATGTGTGTGTAAATTGAAATCTGCTCAAGTGGAAAATTGAAGGCTTTTTCTCAAATTCTCTGGGCAGAACAGAAGCCCCTCTCTCTCTTTTAGGTAGCCTATTTCGAGCAGAGTACAAGCATGCATACACACCCGTGCACACATACACACACACACACACACACAAACACGCAAGCATGAAATAACGCACACGCACACACACACACACACACAACCTCTTTCTCTCTGGGTATGTTAGTAGATTGGGGTCTGTGTGAGATTATTGACACATTTGACAGTAAATCAACTCATCCCTCAGATGCCTTTGGGAGACGCGTCCCACCAACTTTACTCTTCCCATCCAACAGAGCCCAGCGGCCCGGAGATGTCAAATCCCTATGCTCTCTGTGTGTGTGTGTGTGTGTGTATGTGTGTGTCTGTGTGTGTGTGTGTGTGTGTGTGTGTATGTGTGTGTGTGTGTGTGTGTGTGTGTGTGTGTGTGTGTGTGTGTGTGTGTGTGTGTGTGTGTGTGTGTGTGTGTGTGTGTGTGTGTGTGTGTGTGTGTGTGTGTGTGTGTGTGTGTGTGTGTGTGTGTGCGTGCGTGCGTGCGTGCGTGTGTGTGCATGCGTGTGTGTGTGTGTGTGTGTGCACCACTGTGTGTTTGTGCGTGTGTGCGTCCCAGCCTTACCGGATGCAGAGGGTTTATCCCAGCAATCTTGAAAACGGACGGGGCAGAAGCTTTACCACACTGAGGTTACAGTTTTACAAACAAGACAGAAACAGCTACACTGAAGACTGAAAACATCAGCCATTTTGTGATGATGTCAGCTTAAAGGCTTTAAGATGGTGCAAATTAGCCGCCCTCCCTCCGCCCCCATTAAAGAGGAACGTATAGGAACAGAGGGCAGATTACCTTGGCTACTCTGCTGCTCACGTTCTGGCTGTGTTCCTATAAGAATTCAAAAACTTGGCCCAGCTTTCTAAATGGCTATTGGTAGAACCAGAGCAATGTGCTGTTGTCACTCTATTAACTGAACAGTAAGACAGTGGGATGCAGAGGTGTGTACATGTATAGTGAATATTAGGTTTTGACTTATCTGTAGATACACAGTAACATGACATTGCTTTAAATTATACTGAACCAAAATATAAACGCAACATGCAACAATTTCTACGATTTTACTGAGTTACAGTTCATATAAGGAAATCAGTCAATTGAAATAAATAAATTAGGCCCTAATCTATGGATTTCACATGACTGGGAATACAGATATGCATCTGTTGTTCACAGATACCTTAAAATAAAAGATAGGGGTGTGGATCAGAAAACCAGTCAGTATCTGGTGTGACCACCATTTGCCTCATGCAGTACTTTTTTATTTTTTTTATTTCACCTTTATTTAACCAGGTAAACCAGTTGAGAACAAGTTCTCATTTACAACTGCGACCTGGCCAAGATAAAGCAAAGCAGTGCGATAAAAACAACAACACAGAGTTACATATGGGGTAAAACAAAACAAAAATCAAAAAAATACAACAGAAATACAATTAATATACAGTGTGCAAATTTAGCAAGTTATGGAGGTAAGGCAATAAAATAGGCTATAGTGCAAAATAATTACAATTTAGTATTAACACTGGAATGATGTGCAAGAGATGATGTGCAAATAGAGATACTGGGGTACAGATGAGCAAAATAAATAACAATATAGGGATGAGGTAGTTGGGCGGGCTAATTTCAGATGGGCTGTGTACAGGTGCAGTGATCGGTAAGGTGCTCTGACAACTGATGCTTAAAGTTAGTGAGGGAGATAAGTGTCTCCAGCTTCAGAGATTTTTGCAATTTGTTCCAGTCATTGGCAGCAGAGAACTGGAAGGAATTGCGGCCAAAGGAGGTGTTGGCTTTGGGGATGACCAGTGAGATATACCCGCTGGAGCGCAGACTACGGGTGGGTGTTGCTATGGTGACCAATGAGCTAAGATAAGGCGGGGATTTGCCTAGCAGTGATTTATAGATGGCCTGGAGCCAGTGGGTTTGGCGACGAATATGTAGTGAGGACCAGCCAACAAGAGCGTACAGGTCACAGTGGTGGGTATTATATGGGGCTTTGGAGACAAAACGGATGGCACTGTGATAGACAACATCCAATTTGCTGAGTAGAGTGTTGGAGGCTATTTTGTAAATGACATCGCCAAAGTCAAGGATCGGTAGGATAGTCAGTTTTACGAGGGCATGTTTGGCAGCATGAGTGAAGGAGGCTTTGTTGCGAAATAGGAAACCGATTCTAGATTTAACTTTGGATTGGAGATTCTTAATGTGAGTCTGGAAGGAGAGTACGACACATCTCCTTCGCATAGAGTTGATCAGGCTGTTGATTGTGGCCTGTGGAATGTTGTCCCACTCCTCTTCAATGGCTGTGCGAAGTTGCTGAATATTGGTGGGAACTGGATCACGCTGTCGTACATGTAAATCCAGAGCATCCCAAACATGCTCAATGGGTGACATCTGGTGATAATGCAGGCCATGGAATAAATGGGACGTTTTCTGCTTCTAGGAATTGTGTACAGATCCTTGCGACATGGTGCCATGCATTATCATGCTGAAACATGAGGTGATGAAGGTGGATGAATGGCACGACAATGGGTCTCAGGATCTCGTCATGGTATCTCTGTGCATTTAAATTGCCATTGATCAAATGCAATTGTATTTGTTGTCCGTAGCTTATGCCTGCACATACCATAACCCCACCGCCACCATGGGGCACTCTGTTCACAACGTTGACATCAGCAAACCGCTCGCCCACACAACCCCATACACGTGGTCTGCGGTTGGACGTACTGCCAAATTCTCTAAAACGACATTGGAGATGCTTATGGTAGAAAAATTATCATTCAATTATCTGGCAACAGCTCTGGTGGACATTCCTGCAGTCAGCATGCCAATTGCCCGCTCCCTCAAAACTTGAGACATCTGTGGCATTGTGTTGTGTGACAAAAACTGCACATTTTAGAGTGCCCTTTTGTTGGCCCCAGCACGAGGTGCACCTGTGTAATGATCATGCTGTTTAATCAGCTTCTTGATATGCCACACCTGTCAGGTGGATGGATTAACTTGGCAAAGGAGAAACGCTAACTAAGAAGGATGTAACAAATTTGTGCACAACATTTTTGAGAATTTAGCTTTTTGTACTTATGGAAAATTTCTGGGATCTTTTATTTCAGCTCATGAAACATGGGACCAACACGTTACATGTTGAATTGATATTTTTGTTCAGTGTATAAAACAGGTTGTTTGGATCCTGGATGCTGATTGGTTGATATGCAGGAGTTGTGGGACAACAACTCCCGCAAAAATACCATGACGCGTTACTCTCATAATTCCCCTGTCCCGCAGCCCAAGCACGAAATCCATCAACTTCATCTGCCTCGAGAAAAAAGCGTCTTCATATTATTTTTCTATTCTACTTGTCACGTTCGTTTAATGACGGGTCAGACCAAGGCGCAGCGTGATATGCGTACATGTTTATTAACGTAATAAACAACACAACAAAACAA